ACAAGAACCCAATATTAGCAAATTAATGATAATTTGGATCGTAAAATATCTTGCTCTAAAATATACTAGTGATATCAAAATTCTGTTTTTCTTCTTCTTTTTCTCCTCTGTATTGATCTTGAAGATTATAAGGCGAGAGTAACAGAGTCAGAATTTTCACTAAAGAGATTTAAGATATGAAAAATCGAAGAAGTACATATATACGAGGTGTTCGAATGAGATTGAACTAACCTTCTTATCAGGTGAATCTTTAGGAGACTGTTTAAAAACTTTCTTAACAGATGAAAACCAACCACTTCCTTTCTTGCCCATATTTCAGCCAAAAGAATTGACCTTTCTGTCACAAAAAACACACATAGATTCAACAGATCATAAGCATCAAGACGACAACAAAAGAAAATACAGAACTTCCCCAAATAAGGTGAAAGAAAAAGTGAAAGGAGAAAAAAAATAGTTTGGTGATAATAAAAAGAGTAGTAAGTGCAAACCTGCTTATTTTGCCGTTAGTATTTATCATTCTCACGGGGTCAGATCAAAAAGAGTAGCTTTCCTATTGTTTAGCCCCTATATATACAAACACTACTACTCTCCTCTTTTATTACTACAAAAAAAAAAAACATACAGTTGGCCTCTTCTTAATTACAAATCTATACTATACTCCCTCCGGTTTCAATATATTTGTCTTATTTTAATCTACTGCAAAAAAAAATATATAAATTACGTGTGATTTTTCTGGATATCAGTATGAAAATTTGTAAGAAACTTATTTTCATACTAATATCACCATGTAATTCACAGTTTTCTTACCGCGTGACTTGACCCAAAATTTCACAAAGTAAAGAATATTTTTAACGATAAATTACAAAAAATCGCATACTTTTAAGGTAAAATTACAATTTGTCTCTTAAAAAGGTTAATAATCACAGAAATCTCTCAAACGGATACATTAATGGAGGGTCCGGATACACTAATGGCCAAAAAATCAAAGTATTGATATATTAAAAAAGAGGATCGGATACATTAATGACATTTTTGACTTGAGAGAAAATGAGAGATTTGTGAAACTTATAGAAGATAATGGTAATATATAAATTAAAAACTGGGAATTCTGTAATTATTTTTATTTTTAAATCATATGTCAAATGTAGGAAGATTTTCTTATAAAATATTTTTTAAAATTTTTAAATCGACTAAAAAAGAAATATTGTAAAACAAATAAATTGAAATAAGGAGTATTATTTACATTATTTTTGCCCCTATTCACGGGTCTTTGGATATTCATTGGTTCCTCCTGAATAATAAATATAAGCACTTAATATTCATTTATTGTAATTTTTCTCTCTTTCTAACAAACATGGTGTTCTGTTTAGTTCGAGTGTATTTCGATTATTTATGGAATTAATTATATTATTTCATTTTCCTTCTTGTAAAGTTTCTTTTCTAATTTTTAATGATTAGAGAAAATTTTGAAAAAAATAATTTAACCAACTAAATATTAAAAAAATTAAAAATATGTATTTTTGGACGTGATTGTTGTAACTTTTTTCATAACAAAAAAATTACTTTTTTTGCTTCATTAGCTGATGCATGGTGTGTCACAAGGTTGGGTGTCAGTACATTTTTTTTAATCGATAAATAAAGAAGACTTTTTATTATATAGACGAGTACTATAGTGAGATGAATAGGAGTTCTTTATTTATAATTAAAAATCTCACGTTCAATTCTTGAGATTTGAAAAAAAAATCTTATTAAGAAGTATGTCTTTTTAAATGAGTCTTATTTATTTAGCGTGAATCTAGATTAATTAGAGGTTAGCATGGATATCGAACTCAGACGAAAACAAAAACTTTTAATATACAAGTTGAGCAAGGAGTACAATTGTCTAATTAGAAGGTTCACGGGCGTGTGATAATGACATACAAATTATGTAAATTATTGTATTTTGTTAATTAGTAACTCCTATCATTTGTTAATTACTTAATTGGCCTAACCATCAATTCACTATATGTATATTATGCAGTTTTAGACGAAGCACGAGTAAAATATCAATTACTATATACACTTATTTTATGGATCTTAATTAATTTAACACTAATTGAATTACAGGGAATTGTTGGAGCTGAAATAGATAAAAAAAAATTAAAGGTGTGATTAATATTAGTGTTATTAATTAGGTAGATGAGATGAGGTTTTTTTTTGCTTGCATTTGAAGTGACATTTGTTGAAATATTAGGAGGAAATAGAAGCTTTTTATGGTGCACCTTCCTTAATAATCTCATGATTGTTTGTTCAATTTAAGCTTTGTGATAACCACTTTTCACCTTAATTAATTAATTAATATATATATGTAAATAATATTTCTTTTTTACACATTAATTATTAATTTAAAAAGCAAAGTTAATTTGACTGGTTGAAGTTTGTTTGGTAAGAGAAAAGGTTTCCATATGCATAAATGAACAAAAACTATATATAAGGAAATAAATAAATATAAAAATATTTCAAGTAAAATATATATAATTCCACAATTGTAATAACGTACAAAAATAATTTTATCATTTTTATTTGTCATAATTCATAATGCATATTTCAGATGTGTTGGTACTATATATAACTAGAAAATAATTAGCTAAATTAATGGATATCATTGGGTTGTTCTTTTTTATACTCTTGTTTTTTTTCTCTCTCTGGTAATGATTCCTAATTAAGAAAAAAAAAATTAACTGTCAAATAGTAATAATTATTATTACTATTATATTTATCAACGTGATATACCTTTTTTACTAATTGGATAATATATGCAAAAGTAATTCGTAATATATATGCTAATTATTTTTTAAAATATAGTAATTAGAGGAATAATCAAAAGTATCAAAAAATTGAACATTCTTTTATTTTTTATAACTATTCTTTATTATTGAGTTCTCTACCTTTGCATCAATGACATTTAGGAGCGAATTTACAGAATTTACCGTACTAGTCGATGGGGTTCGTAGGAACTCACTCCGATTGTAAATTACAACAAATTATGTAATTATATTAAAAATTTTAAGTTTTTTTTTATGAGAATTCATAAGGTGGTTGACTCCACGACAAGAAAAGGATCTCTAAAAGAAAAGTATCTCTAAAGAACTTAATTTAAGTGTATTTTTGTCCGATTACTTATATTATTAGAAATTCATAAATTTTAAATTTTAAATTTGATTTTAATTGAATCTTCGTTCAGAAATGATAAAATAGGAATAAATAGAATATGAAGTGAAAGTTTTTTTCATTTTTTGACAATAATAGGTAGGCTTCTCTAATTGGATGAAGCAGTATTTGTCTTTTTAGTTTGCCAAATATCATACATTGATGAGTTAAATTATTTATGAAAATATTGTACTGGTGTTTTAATTTTAAGACTATAGTAATATATGACTAAAAAGACAAATATGATTTTATTTTAATTTTGGTTCATATTTGCTCCCCTATGAATTCGAGTGTTGAATCCAATTCTAACTTTTATTTTGTTCCAATTTCTGGTAAACTTATTTACCACTTTTTTTTTGTTCAAATATTCTTTTATATAAAAAGAAGATATTTGAAAATATTTGAGCTATGAATAATAAGGAAACAAACTTGCACAAGTTTGGAAGTTCCATCAATTAAGAATTTAACTTTTGAAATTGATTAATTATCCATAATTAACAACAATCTATATGGTACTATTATATTAAATTAAAAGACATATATATTGTTCTTTTAGAACTATCACCATCACCATAATAATAATTTTTCGATTCTCTGAAATTCGTGTAGCTTTTGTTGTTAATATTTGAGATAATCAGGTTTGTTATTTGATCATCCTCCTTAAAAATTTCACATGAATTTTGTTTCTATTAATTTTGGAGAAACAAAAAAACTAGTTTAAATCTTTATATGAAAACATGTTTGTTATTTTTTTTCAAGTAATTTGTTACTTTGAAATTAGTTGGTTTCGAAATAATATGTTATTATGTGTTTCCAGATAATTAGAAATTAGTCGATTTGGTTTAGAATAATACTTGTTTGTTAGTAGCCAAGATTTAAAAGTTCCTTTCTAATGAAAAATATATTTGTGAATATTTATTTTATAGGTTTACTTAATTATACAACATATATAATTGACAATTATTAAAGTGGAGTAAATTAAAGATCTGATACTGTATTTGTTGTAATTTGTAAGTAGATGATACTATTATGATAACAGTCAATTGTTTAATTTTTTTCCGTAAAAAATATAATTGATTTTTTTTATGTACTAACTACTTGTAATTAAGGTTGAACGTTATAAATACACTTATATTTAGTTTGAAGTTTGACAAAAGTATATTGAGATAATCTAGAGACTGAAATTCATTTTTTGATATTAATTTTGTTGATAACTCTAAATAAAGACAAATTATTTAAATGGATATATAGACACCTGTTTTGAGACTGAGAAATAAGTATATATTTTTATATATGAGGTTATAGATGAGATGATGAATATAAATATCTAGCATATTAGCAGAGATTTTGAGGATCGTCTAGGATTATTTTTTCGTCGAGAAAGGTGGTAGGCCGATTTTAAATACTTTAACTTTAACTTGGTCATCGAAGAAGGTGAAGATTGGACGAAACTTTGATTTATGTTATTTCTTATACTTTAGTTATAGTATTATTATGTCGTAGTTACGTCATGCTATCTTTATCATCACTTCTGTTATTTTTTTCAAACTACTTTGATGTACTTGTTTTTTATTTGAGTTTCTATAAGAAACAACCTTTTAATTAACCTCCTAAGAAAGAGGGTAAGATCTCTATATCTTTCCAGAATATTTTATCATGCTATCTTTAGTATTTTGTCGATCATTTCTGTTTTCTTCTTCAAACTATATTTGATTTGAGGGTTTATTAGAAACAATTTTTTTTACCTCCTAAGAAAGAAGGTTAAGATCTGCGTGCAAACTACCTTTTTTAGAGTAATAAACTTGTGAAATTGTACAGAATATGTTAGTATTGTTGTTCATGGTTAATTCCTATCTTTGTATCTTAACAATTAATTTTGAAATCGATATCTAGTATTTTCACAAATTTTTTTTTCAGGATCTATGGAAGACGAAACGAACTTAATATCAAGCACGACGAACGTAACGGTTGGTGATTGTGATTCAAGCGGAAGCAATCATCTATTACCTAAAAAGCGAAACATTAATAATGCACGTGAGGGAAAATGTTGCATTTCAGGTTCAAAATTCAAAGGTGTAGTAGGGCAAAATAATGGTCATTGGGGAGCTCAAATATATGCAAATCATCAAAGAATTTGGCTTGGTACTTTTAAAACTGAAACAGATGCAGCAATGGCTTATGATAGTGCTGCTATTAGACTTCTTGGACCAGATCATTCACATAGAAATTTGTCATGGACAAATTCAACAATTCAAGAACCTAATTTTCAGACACAATTTTCAACTGAAGATATTCTAAGAATGATCAAAGAAGGTTCTTATACTTCAAGGTTTGATGAGTATTTGAAAGACAAATTTGAAGATCATTTTCAATCTTTGAAAAACTTACAAAAAGTGAATGAGGTAAGAAAATAATTTTGTATATCTTAGACATATACTACTTTTTAGGCTACCATGTCATCGTAATCATAGTAAATGAAGATTATTATGGAGTATATAGATCAGAATAAAAGGTTAGTTAAGTAACCGAGAGTTACCTCACTTAGCCTTTTATATTGATAGTTGTAGTATTACTATGAGAATTTCTTATTATTCCGTTTCTATCATTTACTATTTCTAACACTTTCGATTATCGTATTGCTTTGTGATAGTACTAATTGTTTCATTTTTAGTATATTTTGTCTTTGTTCTCTTTAGCAACTTTTCTTTGACTTCTTCTCTCTCTTGTTTCTCTTTATTTCTTTTTCTAAACTGCTTTATAATGTCTTTTTCCTTGAGTTGGCTTCTACTCAAAATAGTTTACCTTGAGGGGTAAGGTACGTGTATACACTATTTTTCAAACCCTATTTATGAGAATATATTTGATATACATGTTATTATTGCATGTCACACTAGAGATGTACGTTCCACATGAATTTACAAATAATCGTAAGAATTTAAATTATATACACATCATTGTAAAGGATTTTGTATATCATAAGGTCGCGTACAAGAATATCTAAAGAATACAAGCAAGCATGCTATAACATATAAAGATGTATACACACCTTATAGTAACTTATTTATAATCTGGAAATAAGGCAAATAACTAAGTGTTTTTTACTTCTTGGTGTATATAGGTTTAATGCATGTACATAATGTTGAATACTCTTAATATAGCTTTATAGGTATAACTTCTTTTTTTTTTAACTCCTCTTGTTAGAATTGATGATTTCAATGTTACTTATAGGGTAATGCTGAATTTTCCTACAAGCAGCTTTTCCAGAAAGAGCTAACTCCAAGTGATGTTGGAAAGCTTAATAGGCTTGTGATCCCAAAGAAATATGCAACAAAGTATTTCCCTCAAATTCAAGACGAGGAAATGATCTTTTATGATACATCGAGGAGATTATGGAAGTTCAGGTATTGTTATTGGAAAAGTAGTCAAAGTTTTGTTTTCACAAAGGGTTGGAACAAGTTTGTGAAAGATAAAGGTTTAAGAGCAAAAGATACGATTGTTTTCAACTTGTGTGAATTCAAGAACGGAACGAAAGAGAATTGCAATGCATTTGTGATTGATGTTGTGAAGAGTATTGATGGTGTGCCTATGAATTTAGCACTCAATCATCATGAACAAGAAGAAACTATTGATGATCATGAAGTGGACACACAAGAATTCACTAAGGCACAACCATTTGATGATGATTTGGTACCTGTTTGGCTTTTTGGGAAGCAAATAGGTTGGATGGAGACAAAAGGAGCAATGGAGTTTAATTAATGTTCATCGATAGCGTAAATAATTTTTCAAAGGAATATGTAGGATAAAACATCGCAGAACCCCCTTATATTTCTATTATTTTTTTGTTGTATCAGATAATTGTTTTATTTTCAAGAAACGAATCTCACCTTTTTAGAGAGATTATCGATGGATTTTAATTATTTTCTTTTAATCTCATAGTGAAATTTTTATCTAATATTATTCGTGTACATAAGTTTTGAGATTTTTTTTATTTTTATTTTTTGCTTATTTACTTGAAAAAAGAAAAACTCATTTATTTTTCAAAACAATGTTTTTCATGGAAAACATTAATGTCATAGTTGGGTAGTGACAATTGCCTTTTATGGGAGGTAATGAGTTTTAAAAGCATTAATTATTTTGTCTTGTATGACTTGTTATTGAATATTTATTAGACTTATAGTGACATTAAGAAATTAATTATAATATTTTAATCATGCATGTGGTGACTGGTGATCATAGAAAAGAACCTTTAAGTTGATGTACACTTTCTCCAGCTAGATAAATGAGAAATTATTGGGTGATTTGAGTAAAAGGGTATTTTGTATTGGTAATTTGATTTTATTTCCATTTGTGATATTTGTGTAGAAATTTGCTTTTGTAAGTCTAATTTTTTTAAAAAAATTGTCTCAAATATCTGTACATTGTGAATACCAAGACAAATTAATAGGATAGCTTGTAAGATTCATCTAATTGTCATGATTACAAATCTTTACTTGATCATGATTTTAAATATTACTCATGATACTATTTTTTAACTTTAATCGTTTTACGAAAAATGATCTATTTTGATTTATTTATGGAGTATAAGAAAATTTAAAAGGAAATTTAAATTTTGTAGTTTTAAATTAAAATTATATCAAATATACTAAATTATTTTTAATCTTGTGACCTTAAATATTTCAGACGAAAAGTTAAAAGTAAAATATTTATTAAAAAAAATTATTTTTTGTTAAACAGACTAAAAAAAAAGAACATTATTTTTTTAAAAAGGAAATAATAATTTAAAGTTAACAATTATAGGTTGTGATAAATTGGGGTAAATTACTCAACTTCAAATTTTGCTCTTGCAAAATCGTTTCATCACTTTTGGTAACCTTAAACAAAAAAAAAGAAGATATTTCTCATTAAAATAACTTTATAAGTGGTTTTATTTTAAAGAATTAAGCAATTTTATTGATAAAATCACTAATTTTACATACTCGGGAGATCATTTGAGAAATCTATTCTTATTATTACAAATGGAAAGTATATTTCCCTATTAATTTAATATTTCATTGTTTAATATAATATAATTAGCAGAGATATTTATCGCATTCACAAAACATTATCATATTTTTCTTGCAATTATGCTTGAAAATTATTTTTTAAGTTATTTTTTTTAATCTATGTATTAATTTTTTGAATAACTTATTATTTGGTAGATAAATAAAAAATAAATTATTCATATATAAAATTAATATATGTATATATTATGATCATCTCACAGTGTAAGGAGCAAATCACATTTTATCTCAACTATTTTCCTTCAAATTTGTATCATCTGGATAGGTCTCATTCATTATGATACATAACATTTGGATATATTAGACAATTTATCCGTTGAGATTAAAAAGAAAAAATAAACGTAAAATTAAATGTTAGTTTTTCAAATCAAACAAATCGAATTGATGTCAATATCTCCCAAATCATAACATATTCAAACAACTCAAATTACAAATTTCAAATTTTCTTCTCTCAATTTTTTTTCAAATCGTAATTGATTCGAAAACAATAGCTTATACATGATGAATGTATTTATTTTGTTGAGACATTTAGATAAGAAAATAGACCAAAACCCATATGTATCAGGCAAAAAAAAAACAACAAAAAATTAAAAAAGAAATCAACTTGTTACTCTATTAATTTTGTGTCACATACATAACTATTAATATGATACAAACTAATGTTGTTATAAAACATTAGGATTTATGTATCAACAATAATATTTGATAATGTGTATTGAGTAAACTTCTAGTTAAATAAGTTTGAGTGTTGTATGCAGTGGTAAAAGATCAGTAGTAGAACCAATATTTTCAATAAAGAGTTTAAAATATGTAGAAATATAGACACACAAAGTAATCGAAAGTGGGTTCGACATCAACTATATATACATAAAAATTATTTTAACTATATATAAATAATATGATTTTTCGACTATATATACATGACCAAATTTGTAATTGTCATGTATTTGATACATAACTATAAACATAATACATACCAACATTAACTTAAGAAATAAAAACAACTAGCTACATCAAAAATCTAAATCCACATGTATTAAAAAAAAAAGAACAACAAAAAAAAAATAGAAAATAAAAAATAAAAAAATCAACAATATAATATGTTGAAAGCAAAAAAATGAAGAAATCTTTATACGCTTTCTCATTTGCTCTATATCAACTCCTCATTTTCGTTAATGCTATTACTTATAGATTTCGATCCAAAGTCTTCACCGTAGTCATCATCAACTCGATTTTTCACAGTTAATTTTGAAGTCGAAGAAGCATGCTTCTTTGATTAATTGGATAATCACAATACCAAAAGATAAAACATTATTCGTATATATCAAAAATTTGTAGATGAAAAGAATAATAATAATAATAAAATTGATAAAGAATTAACCGGAAAGAAAAAGATGAATGAAGACGAACTCTTTTCAATGTAATTGATGAACTATAGGAGAGAAGATTTGAATTTTAAAAATGATATGACGAACGTAATTAGCAATACATTGGAATGATTTTATGCGTGAAAAAAAGAAAGAATACAATTGGATGATATTTTTAGAATGATGTATCCGAAAAATTGAGAAAAATTAAAGAGAATAAAGATTTTTATAATTTTTATAAATGATAGAGAATAATAGAAATCGGATAATATATATATATATACTCGCTTCGTTTCACAAAGAAAGATGGTTTGACTTGACACATAGTTTAAATAAATAAGGAAGACTTTTGAATCCAGTGGTCCTAAATTAAAGTCATATCAAATGTATTGTTCTTTAATCTTGTAACTTTAAATATGCCACGTGGAAAGATAAAATGAAAACATTACAAAAAAAATTCATTCTTTTTAAAATAGATAAAAAAAATTATTCTTTTTGAAATGAAAAAAAAATATATATATATTATTAATAATTTTTTTAATTTTTATTATATTAATACTTATATAGCTCTAATCAACTATTAACCGAGATCAATAAAACCAAAAAAACATGCTATAAAGACAACATCTCTATACAAATTTTTCAGGAGTAGAAACGTACATCATGAGAGAAGCTGATACGCCAAACCATCAACGTGTCAGTTTTTTGACAGCTCAGATTACCTGTGGCCCCACTTTCCAACTCATACTTTCAATGCCAAGAGCTTCAAATGAGTACAAGACATGTGGCATAAGTTCTTTTAACTTTTTGGTCTCATTTCACGTGACACTATTTTATTTAATATTCAAAATAATATTGGGATATTTATAAAGTTGTAAATGATTTTATTAAGGATAAAAGAGAAATTTAAAAGTTAAACTACTTCAAATTATAATAAGATTGACTTTTTCTCAGATCGATTAAAAAATAAAAAGTGTCGCATCTATTAGATCAATTGAAATAGTATTTTTGTTTTTTCTGCATTTTTCATATGGTTCTTAATATTTGTTATTTAACATTATTTTCGTATTTTTTTCCTTGAGAGTTATTAGCTCAAATAATATGAATTTAATTAATATATAAATACATTAATTTATGTTCATTTATTGAGAACTTGACTTCAAGAGAGTAGTATATAAAAAAATACAATAGTAAACTTTCATAGTTTCTCATAGGACATGAATTCTAAAATAATGATATATAAATAGAAACGAAGAAAGTACATGGTAATTTAATATATATCATTTAATTTATTGTTATAAGTTAAAAAATCCTTTTATATTCCAAAAAACTCATCTTCAATTAAAATCTTAGTTATTGATTACCATTTAGTTCAACTATAGAAGTAAATGATAGTAACTTTTCTTAAAAGTAAGAGTTAATACCGTACACTCAATTTTGAGTTGGTTACTTAAAAAGTCATTTAACTTTAAGTTGTTTACGTAAAAAGTCACTCAATTTTGTTTTATAACTCAAAAATCGTTAAACTATTGATGTTTAACCTAGAAAGTCACCCAAATATTTATATTTCACTTATAAAGTCACTCAATCAATTTAAATAAAATTTTCATTAAAATTTATTTCAAACTATTAGTAAAGAAATAATAAGATACCTATTTTAATTATTTTACTATCCGCTCCAACTATTTAATTATAATTTTTCTAAATTTTTTTTGCAGTAACAACTGCAAGCCCCTCTCCCCTCAAAAAAATAAAAAAAAAATAAATAAAAGATAATTCTCAATTCTATTAATTGCAAAATTGGAAATAAATTATTAAAAGATTAGCAATAAAGAAAAATTGGAATTGGTAAGAAGCAATTAATTATTTTTTTGTATTTTTATAAAATTTAACGAAAAAAGTTATTTAAATTGATTAAGTGACTTTCTAAGTGAAATATAAATAGTTGGATGACTTTTGAAGTATAACACCAATAGTTGAGTGACTTTTGAGTTAAAAAATAAAGTTGAGTGATTTTTGAAGTAAACAACCAAAAGTTGAGTGACTTTCTAAGTAAACTATTCAAAGTTGAGTAACCGGTATTATCTCCAAAAGTAATCCGTTGACTATTTAGCTTTTTATATTTCCTCAAACCCAAACGGATACCATTATACTTACTAGAATACGAATGCTGATCATCGTGCTTAATATAGCGCTTTCGTTTAATCATAGAGTTTGTAACTTTAGAAAATAAGTTAGGATGTGCATTTCACTTTAAAAAAATTGTGAATTTTAATTAGTAATAGTGAATTACACTAGAAAGAATCGTGAACGAAATTTTCAAAATCTATAATTAAACGCTAGCCAGATTGGATTAAAAAAAAAACTACTAATGTTATTAAATATTCCATATATATAAAACAAAATATCTGTGTACTGTGCAACCTGGACAATATAGCCCTTCAGGCCTGTTTTGATGCATGATAGTATAAACTACCCACACTTCTCAGTCCTTTGCTCTTCCTTCTCCATTTTGCCCATTTTTCTCTACTTCTACTCTGTGAATTTTCCGGTATCTATTTTCTGCAAATCGCCATTTGCCGCTAGCTTCAAAGGAATATAAAAATGTAAGTCTCATAAATCAAATATTTATGTATATATACAATAAAAAATTTCATATACATCGATTTCATTTTCCATGCATACGTGTAGTAAACATCCATATAGACTCAAGTCAAAACATCAGTCGAAATCTCTATTTTTTCCCGTTTTCCGGCTTAAATTCCGTTCATTTTGCTTCGTTGATGTTTAATTCCTTCCATTTTCGTTATATGTGTGTATGTTCGTGTTGATTTTTTTTTTTGTATAGGAAGAACTGAAAAACTGATGATTTCACTTGTTTAAGGTTGATCATATTTTACTAGTATTTGTTTTTGTTATGTGGTGGCAGGTCGAGTAAAAGGCACTGTGAAGATTTTTCGACTGAAACGCCGAGAAAGAAGCCATCTAGGGTTTTAAGAATCCAAGTTGATTCAGATGAAGAAGTTGGTAATAATGAAGGAAAAGTTTTTTATTTTCGGGTTCTGTTGCCTAATGGAATAACTTTAGAGTTGCAAGTACCTGGACCACCTAGTGAAATGCCTGTTGAGGATTTTGTTATTTTAGTGAGGCGAGAATACCAAAATATCGGGCGAAGAACAGATTCACCTAAGCCTAGAAGACAGATTAATTGGACTCGCAAGGATTTGCATTTTGTTGATGCTTTTGATAACAGGATAACGAAGACGATGGATTTCAGGAAGTTTAAATCCAACAAGTCTCATATGCTAAGGCTCTGTGTATGTAAAGGTTTCAGTGTTTTTGATTTCTCAATTGTTTTGGTAGTAAGAGTTCCCATTTGTTGTTTTGTTTTAACTTGCATTTTCTATACAGGATGGTTCAGTTGAAGCAGATAAATATGAGGTTGATTCTTCGGTCTCTGGTGGAATGCTATTAAAGAATATATGTGGTGTTTAGAATTTCTGTAGCTGAGTGTATGCTTTCACTTTGCAGAATATGTGGGACCTTACACCAGATACTGATTTATTGAAGGAACTGCCTGAAGAGTATACATTTGAAACCGCACTGGCAGATTTGATCGTAAGCATCTTTTGCATATAACTTTTATTTTTCCAATTAATTGTATAACTTTCTTTATTTATGTTGATCACTTTAAGCATTAACTTCATTTTAATGGTATATCAGGATAATTCATTGCAGGCAGTATGGTCTAAGTCTACAGACCAGAGAAGATTAATAAGGTAAGGAATTTTGTAGCTGGATAGCTCAATAAAACATATAATCAATTCAATTTCTTAAATTTGCAAGTTATTAAAGTCCTGAGATGGTGTATATTCGCTAAAGACTAATTTTTTATCTGAAAGATGCCAAAGTATACTTTTTTTTAAAACAAAAAACGAGTCAGGATTGTATTGCCACGGTCAAAGAGGATACGGAAGAAGAAGGAGGACTAGGCCTGGCCTTCTTCAGTACATATTGTATTTCTTAGCCTTTTAGTCTAATAAGCAAAAGTTTGGGGGGACACAAGTGGCAATAGAGTTGTTTCTTCTTGGTGGATCAAAGATGATAGCACCATGGTTTCTCCTCCTGACTCTAAAAGATGGTATTTGCCATATGTCAATGTTAACTAGGCCTATGATTTGTCTAGGTAAGGAGCTATAGTTAGTGTAGATACAAGTGTTTCTACTCTTGTGACTCACGGACACTAGCTTGTCAGCAACCTAGTTAGCTTCCCTCATGCGGTGAGTGGTATGGGTATGGTGACTGGTGAGTGTCCAGCAAAAACTTAATCTTATTGATTGTGTCTTCAATTTTCCAAGGGCTTTGCCTGTTGCCCTGAATACAACTCTGATCCTAGGGTGACCATTTTGAATACACCAGTTAAGATCAAACAAGAACGCATTGGCTTCTACCTAGTTGCTATCGCCTCTCCCCAAAGGTATGCAAAACGCCATAATCACCTTGCCTTCCTTGTCTTTCACTACCCCTCCTCCTATGCAGTTTCCTTCTATGCATGAACCATCAGTATTAAGTTTGACAAAAAGATGTAGGGTTTTTTCTCATTTGACAGTAGTAGAGATGACCTCCATCAGTTTAAGACCCAAGAGGTGAATAAAGTTGGGCCAATCATTAGGGAAGGAAATTTTAGGGAACTGAAGTTTGGAGTGTTGGATGATACTGAGGTTATCAAAGTGGTAGATTTATGCATCAAGAGTTTTTCATCTTCATACTTGACTCCACATCTGGATCTCCACAGTTCCCACATAATAATTGGAGGCATTATTGTTAGCGGAAACGTGAAACTAAAGAACAAGGAAGAACAACAATATTTAACGTGGTTCGGATCAAAATGATCCTACGTCCACCAAAGAACAACTGCACCAATATTTATTTCACTATACAAAGAGTATAAGTGAAATACTACAAGAGAGAGAACACAATGCCTTAGAAGGTGAGAAGGCAAGTAAAATGATGATTTGAAAATGAATTAAGAGCTACCTATTTATAGGAATAAATTCATCCTATTGATGTCATCCATGACATTGCTATGTGTCAAAATTGTCAAGGTTAAGATAGCAAACCATTATATGGTTTGCCTAACTTTCACCTACCAAGATACAATCTTTGACTTGTATTTCCTACTAATTATCTTCCTACCAAATATTCATATTAATTCATCTTCCATTTAGTTTGATTCCACAAGAACCAAAACCAACTCTTTCAATCTCCACCTTGGTTTGTGTTCCAAGCATGCGTATAAACAACTCCGGCCAAAACTTCTAAGCTTACTGGGCAATCCCATTGTAAGAAACAAGAAGAATCAAACCTTTGTTGAACATACCAGCTCTACCTAGCAGTTGTTCTCTTAGAGTTGCATCAATTGATGCATACTCCCGCCAAGTCCTTGCAGTGTGCAAACTTGGCAAGCGGGACTATTTTGGTCAACATGTCTGCAGCGTTATCGTCTGTGATAACCTTCTCAACCTTGATAGCTCCCTTTTCTACGACATCTCGAATAAAATGAAATCTGACATCAATGTGTTTGGTGCGCTCATGAAATCTTTGATTTTTAATCAAATGAATAGCACTTTGACTATCACATTTTAGAATTGATTTAAGCCGAGCTGAACACAATTCTGCCACCAAACCTTTCAACCAGATAGCTTCTTTCATTGCCTCCGTTGCTGCCATATATTCTGTCTCTGTTGTAGACAAAGCGACAATCGACTGTAAAGTCGATTTCCAACTAACGGCACTGCCAACGAGAGTAAAGATGTATCCAGTTGTGGACCTCCTTCGATCAAGATCCCCTGCATAGTCAGAATCAACATAACCGCGAATTGAAATACCTTCACTTTTCCGAAAGGTTAGGCCAACATCAAGAGCTCCTTTGAGATATCTCAATATCCATTTGACAGCTTCCCAATGCCTTTTTCCTGGATTTGCCATGTACTTGCTTACTACACTTACAGATTGGGCAATATCTGGACGTGTGCATACCATAGCATACATAATGCTACCAACTGCACTTGCATAAGGAACCTTTGACATATGCTCCACCTCATCCATAGATTAAGGCATTTGTAACTCTAAAAGCTTGAAATGAGAAGCTAAAGGTGTACTTACAGGCTTGCTCGTATCCATATTGAATCTTTCAAGAACTTTTCGGATGTACCTCTTCTGAGAAAGATGTACAACACCATTTTCTCTTGAAATTTCCATTCCAAGGATTTTCTTTGCAACTCCTAGATCCTTCATGTCAAATTCCCTGCTCAACAGTTTCTTCAAAATATTTATCTAACTATCAAATGCACTCATCGAAAATCCATGTGTAGTCATGAATGCATCAAACCTCTTGTACCACTGTCTAGGGGATTGCTTCAAACCATACAAAGACTTCTTCAGTTGGCATACATGGTCTTCTTTTCCTTCAGCTAGGAAACCTTCAGGTTGATCCATATAGATTGTCTCTTCTAGATCACCATGTAAAAAAGCAGTTTTGACATCAAGTTGTTGAAGCTCTAAATCAAACTATGCAACCAATGCTAGCAGCACGCGAATTGAGTTATGTTTCACGACTGGAGAAAAGATCTCATTGTAGTCAATTCCCTCCTTCTGACTGAAACCCTTTGCAACCAATCTCGCCTTGAACCTAGCAGCTTCCACTTCTGGAATACCTTCTTTCTTTCTGTAGACCCATTTGCATCCAACTGTCCTTATCCCCTTTGGCCTTTTAACTAAGACCCATGTCTCATTTCTGTGAAGAGACTCCATCTCTTCCATCATGGCCAACTGCCATTGTGCAGCATCTTTGCAAGAAGTTGCTTCAATATACGAAGAGGGCTCGAGATCCTTAATCTCTTCTTCTGCAGCTACGAACAACTTGTGCAATCAGATTTTCTTGCTCTATAAGACGTTCCGGTTTTCGTATCCGCCTTTTGTCCCTTCCCTTCGCAATTGTGTATGGTTCATTGGAAGCAAGTTCTTCTGCATCTTTTGACTCATCACTTTGAGTCTCTTGATCCCGTTTCTTGGTAAGCTCCACCGGTAGCTCCACCTGCTCGTTGTTCTCGTTTCTAGATGACTCCACAGAAACTTTACGAGGATCAAGTATAGAGGATTCATCAAAGGTAACATCTCTACTAACTACAAATTTGAGTAAAGACAAACACCATAGTTTGTACCCTTTTTTACTCCATCAACATACCCTACGAATATGGCCTTTTTAGCCCTTGGTTCAAGCTTACCTTCATTAACATGATAATAAGTTGGACACCCAAATATTCGCAAGTATGAATAGTTAGAGGGTTCACCTGACCAGACCTCATTCGGAGTCTTAAAGTCAATCGCTGATGCTGGAGACCGATTGACAATATAAAGAAGCAGTATGAACTGCTTCAGCCCAAAATACTTTGGACATCTTAGCTTGTATGAGCATACAACGAGCCTTCTCAAGAAGAGTTCTGTTCATTCTCTCGGCAACTCCATTCTGCTGTGGTGTGTGCCTGACCGTCTTATGCCTTGCGATCCCACGAACCTTGCAGAAATCATTGAACTCTTCATTGCAAAACTCCAAGCCATTGTCCGTGTGAAGATACTTGATTTTCCTCTCAATTTGATTTTCAACCAAAATCTTCCACTCTTTAAATGCTTCAAAAGCATCACCTTTTGTCTTCAGGAAACGCACCCAAACCTTTCGTGAAAAATCATCAATGAATGTGAGAAGATACCTCTTTCCTCCCTTTGATGGAAGCTTAGAGGGACCCCATAAATCTGAATGGATGTAGTCTAGCACCCCTCCCGTCTTGTGCTTGCCAGTGTTGAAGCTGACCTTTTTCTGCTTCCCTAAGACGCAGTGCTCACAAAATTCAAGTGTGCTGATCTTCTCACCATTCAAAAGGTTGCGGTTGCTCAACATCTCCAATCCTCGTGCGCTCATATGGCCTAGTCTCATGTGCCATAATTTTGCCTTGTCATCATTAGATAACTGCACTGTAGATGCATTTACAGAGCCAATAATGGTGCTTCCCGCAAGTGTGTAGAGGCCATCCTCCAGCTTGGCCTTCAACATGACTAAAGACCCTTTAGTCACTTTCATAGTTCCTCCTTCACTCATGTACTTATAGCCTTGTTTATCTAAAGTACCCAGGGATATCAAATTCTTCTTTAGATCAGGAACATGACGGACTTCTGTAATAGTCCTCATGATTCCATCATGGCAGCGAACATGAACTGAAAACAATGCCAACTATTTTACAAGTTGCATTATTGCCCATTAATACAGTTCCTCTGCTTGTTTCATAGCTGCTGAACCAATCTTTTCGGAATGTCATATGCAGAGTACAACCATAGTCTAAGATCCATTTGTTGTTATAGACTCCATTATTGCATGATGTTGTTAGTACATAATCATCATCATTATCATGTACTTTCTCAACAATGGATGCACTCGCCTTTTCTTTGGACTTCGACATAGGGCAATCTCGTTCAAAGTGCCCCTTCTTGTGACAGCCCCAACACTCCGCATTCTTTTTGTTCACACGAGACTTTGATCTGTACTTCGATTTGCTCCTTCCCTTTTGGCTAGTACGACCTCTTACAAAGAGTCCACTAGCTTCGTCACTTTTGTCTCCTTCAAAATGCATCCGCACATCACAAGAGTTTAGTGCTTGCCGCACTTGCTCAAGTTTAATAGGTTGTTTGCTATACATCATTGAATTCTCAATATCCCGATATTTTGAAGTCAATGAAAGTAGTAAAGAACATGCAAGTGTCTCCTCGTCCTTTTTAATTCCAGCAGTTTGTAAGTCCATCATAAGTTTATTGAACGCATCTAGATGGTCTTGTAACAAGGTACCTGAATCCATCTTTAATGTATGAAGACGCCGTTGTAACAACATCCTTGTTGTCACTGACTGGTCCTGGTAAAGCCCTTCCAGCTTTTCACATAACTCTTTGGCCGTCTCTTCGGTACTTGTACTCACTTCACAAAGTACGTTAGGTGCAAGGGACAGTTGGATTGCACTCAATGCATCTCCTTCAATCTTATCCTTGTCGGAATCCGATATCTTATCGGGGTACATTCCGTCAATAGCATGGATTGAACCTTCCCTCCGCAGTAACGCTATCATCTGGATTTTCCAGATATTGAAGTTGTTGCGCCCACTAAATCTATCAATTTCAAACTTCATGGAACTCATTTTTTTTTACTTGTTCTTCCTTTTCTACTACAATGTATTTGGAACCTACAGAAAATCAAAGTAATCCTTTTCTGATGTGGAAGTTCAGACTGTGCTGCAACCATAGAGCATACTCAGACAGAACCTTGCTCTGATACCAATTGTTAGCGGAAACGTGAAACTAAAGAACAAGGAAGAACAACAATATTTAACGTGGTTCGGATCAAAATGATCCTACGTCCACCAAAGAACAACTGCACCAATATTTATTTCACTATACAAAGAGTATAAGTGAAATACTACAAGAGAGAGAACACAATGCCTTAGAAGGTGAGAAGGCAAGTAAAAGGATGATTTGAAAATGAATTAAGAGCTACCTATTTATAGGAATAAATTCATCCTATTGATGTCATCCATGACATCGCTATGTGTCAAAATTGTCAAGGTTAAGATAGCAAACCATTATATGGTTTGCCTAACTTTCACCTACCAAGATACAATCTTTGACTTGTATTTCCTACTAATTATCTTCCTACCAAATATTCATATTAATTCATCTTCCATTTAGTTTGATTCCACAAGAACCAAAACCAACTCTTTCAATTATCTTAGTGGTTTACGAAGCTATGGAGTTCTTGCATTTATATTTCCAGAAGGAGTAGAGAAGGCTCCTCAGTGATGTTCCTAAGGTTGATGCCTAGACCTCTTGCATAGAAGCTCCAAATCTGTTCAGCAAAGTATCCAGAGAAGAAATTGTGCTCAGCCGATTCTCCTGTTGCTCTTCTATTGGTGCCTGCACAACAACAACAAATGGAAACAATGTTAATTCCATGTCTTGCTATTTTGTCTTGAGTTGGAAGTTTGTTATTGAATGCTCTCCAAGTCAGGAAATTTAATTTAAAAAGGACTTTGGGAAGGCAGTTGAGAAATAGGATTTTCTCCATGATGCCAAAATATACTTGAGGGTAGTCATGCACATTTTTCATTCGGGGTATGATTGTCAAGTTCTCTTAAAATGGTGATCCCGACATGCAGAAATAAACTTTTTTCTTTAACATGTCATGTTGTTTGTGTCCCGATCTTTTGAAAGTGAATTACGTAGACATCAATCATTCCTGAAAATGATTTATTTATTTCCCCTAGAAACTTTGAACTCACTTTTTCTGATCATTTTAATACCTTGTAAGTGTGCCTTGTCAACGATATCCATTCTCTCTTGGGATATTACCTGTGCAGGATCCTTCAATTTTTCTTATTCAATTCAGTTCATGCTTCATTTAACTTCTTAACTAAATGACCCTTTTGTTTTTTAGCATAACAATGAATTCCAAGGATGTACAATTGAATATTGGGGAAGTTTGATACTTGCCTCTTTTTTGTCTCTCTTTAGTTAAATTTATTCTTATAGTGCATGTATATTCTTATGGTGTTCTGCATGTACTCACATTTATTTGTTTGACTTGCTGTTGACAGTAGTTGCTTAGCTCGGCTATTCTAGTTATTTGTAACCCTACAAATTAGTAAGATTGGATATCCTGTTATTGCTCCTGTTTGGTAATTGGTCCTACTTCTCTTTCTTTTTACCTGCTTTCACTTGTGTAATAATGTGTTATATCGAATGGCACCTACAGCTGTTTCTTTGTATTTACCTGTAGCTCGTGTTTCATACTCCCCTGGAACTGTCCACTATTTCTCTTACTTTGCAGTCTTGAGCTAACGAAGAGCAGGATTACAATATTTGACACAGGCCTTGGAATGGATGGAAGTGCTGAAAACTCCATAGTGAAATGGTAATTTCTTTTCTCTGTTATAACTGGGATCTTGTTAGTTATCTAAATTATTAAAGCATCAGCGAACTTAAGAGCTACATTATGATGATATCATCTTATGGGTTGCAAAAGTGTTTCCTCTTGAGGTTGGCACCAAAATACTAGAAATCTGTCTAATTTGGTGTCTTGAATGGTTCAAGTTTTTAAGTTATATGGATGAACAACTATTCCTCTGAATGGCCTCAATTTCTCTCTTCATTGACTGTTTTAGATCATTGCTTATGATGCCTTACGATCTCTTTCATATATTTATAGATTCTTTTGCCTCCATATGTCGTACTTTTAATAATAACTTCAGAAAAATTAGGCCTGTTTTTGTTTCTGCTATTTGCATTATGTTAGGTCTATCTGCACTTACTAAAAAAAGGAAGTTCACGTTGGGTATAGTTGTTATGATGCTTATCATTCTGTTTTGAAAGAACTTGTCGTGAATTGAGGGAACATAACTGGTTATAGATATGAGCTTAATTACAATCTTTCTTTTTTGTTTTTGTAAAAAAGGATATTAAAAGAAATTGTGACTTCTTTGACAATGCGATGAGAGATGTAAACACTTCTATAGCACTCAAGAACTCCAGAAAGGGATTGATACCGTGTATCCCAAGTTTGTATAGGCTGCAAATCCAATAAATAGATCTGAAGAGTTGGTTCAGTGAAAAGCTGCATGTATTTTATTATTTTTCACCTTAACTGCAACTATTCAATTCTCTCTTTATTTCTATCTTAAAACCATCTTGGCAAAGTGATGTTGCTTTCTTACATTACGTTGTAAGTTCTTCTACTGCTACTGTATTTTACTGCACTTTTGTGGTTTTCAGTTATGTGGTGCTGTATGTGTTTCAGGGGAAAAATGGGAGCTTCCATTCATAGATCAGCGAGAGACAGAGGCATAGGAGGAAAACCTCCATACTTAACGGTTGTTGCATCATTCCAATACACAGTTTGCTTATCTGTGGTCAAAACATCTTTATTAGATATACATTTCAAATATGCAGCCCTAGATATTTATTTTCTGTGGCTTTTTTTGAGTTTTGAAATCTCTATGCTAGAAACTGTTCCAGCCTGAACTTAGAGTCAAGTAGTTACATATCAATGAACTCATGTTTGATTTTGTCTTGTCATTCCCCTGCAATTTGGCACTGTGAAGTATCCTGCATGTTATCTCATGAATGTTTTGAACAAAAATGAATAAAGTAACAAGAGATAATATCGAGTTTGAATTGGATTCAGAAAACCTTGAATGATCAATGAATATGTTCATTTTACCATTAGGTGTAGTGTCTTCGAATTCTTTGTTTTCCAAGACTGGCTTTCCCTTGATCAATAGGACGGGTATTTATACAAAAAATTGCACCAGTTTTGGCAAAAATCACATAATGACAATCACCGCTTAGGCTATATTAGTTAAGATATATTTATTAGAGTGTCTAGTTATTTCTAGCGAAGAGCAGCCTCTACTTGAAGTTCCTAGGTGTTATTACGAGTCATCTGCTAATGAATTATTAGTAGATACCTTTTTCAAATGCCACTTTGATGTTAGTTTACTTTGCAATTGTGTTCATTGTAAAGCTTATATTACAATAGCTGTGAGAAATTCTCTGGAAATTTATATGTCAATTTGAAGGTGGTGAAATTTAACCAATAGAAAACACCAGTCTTTGCATAATTCTTTTGAAAGTTTAGCTATTGGAGGCAAAAACTGAATTTATAGTCACTAGCCACCAATAATAGAAAGACATAAATTAACACTCTTTTATAGGGAGAAAGAAAAAGGCAACAAGATGATTACAAGTATTTAAATGGAATATATAATTATGCCTCTCGATATATCTTTGAAAACTTACGGACATACTAATTCTATCTTCCTTTTTAGTCTCTTTTCTCTACAGAAGCTCCCTTGTCTTTTAATAGAAACCACGGCTGCTTTTACCTTATATAATGTGATTCTTAATTCATCCAACCAGCAAACTGGGAATCCAACAATTTTTTTGTTTCTATATCTAGCAGTTACTTTATCCTCTTGGCTGACTTTTGCTTATATGGTGGTTGCTTTTACAGCCTTACTTTGGTATGTTTGGTTATGGAGGGCCTATTGCATCTATGCATTTAGGCAGGTATGTCTTGCGAAAGTTTCGAATGATTTCATTTTAGACAAAAAAACAAGGACTTGTTTTCATGCTGCCTTTTCTGTAGAAGAGCCTCTGTTTCGTCAAAGACGAAGGAGTGTAAGAAAGTATACGTGTTACATCTTGAGAGAGATTCTTTGCTCCGCTGTTCTTCGTCTCAACAAACTTGGAGGGTACTCATCATTGTTTAATATTACTCTCTTCTCATCATTTGCTTCTATTGCTAGTATAAGTTCTATCTCTTTATCTTATATTTTCTTTCATCTAGACTGATGGAAATGTTAGAGACCCCTTGGAAGATGAACTACGTGACTCAGTTGATGGTAGCTTCACTAAAGTAAAATATTCTTCTGGACTCTTGCTGATCTTTTGATTATTGAAGTTCTTTAGTATCATTTTCGTACACAGTAGATTTTGCACTGACTTCCTATGAAGCCAATTTTGAGTTCATTTCCCATCCTAACATTTAGCTTGATATGATTGATATCATAATAGATACTTTCTCTTGCAATCTGTATGGGTTCTTGAGTGTGTTATGGTAGGTTGTATCCATAGACTGAGCCTTTCTCAAGTCACTGAATAATCATACGTTTTATTAAATTGTTTTTTTTAATATAAGCTGTTATTGTGGTGTTGTCCAAAATATTTTTATGAATAACAGATGTCTATTACCGTTAAATGTTATGATTTAGGGCTTTAGGCTTCGCTTAGCATTTTGATGTTTTAAATGCTTACTTGTTTTGGTATATGATAATACTTTCATGAAATCATTTTCAAACATGGTATGGAATTGTTAGTGAAAGTATAAATGAGGAGCTTTGAACACAGTTGTAGCTAATGTTATTGACAGGTTGAAATTTTTTATCCAAAGATGAGAAGCGAAAGCATGCAGGAACTACAATACAAACTGAAAGATATATACTTCCCGTATATACAGGTTAGTGGCTCATAGAGTTTTCTGATTTGTTGGTTTAAGAGGTAATAGCCCCTTGACCAATTCAGTTATTTACTTACAAAGTTGATTCATAACATTGTGTGTGTGTGAGTGTGTGTATATATGAACTGAGTACTATTATCCATGTGGGGGTCCGGGTATTATGATTTTGAAATTATTACTTGTTGCTTTAAGCATCATTTTCCGTTTCTTTTGCTTATTACCTATTCCATTTGTACTCCAACTATTGTAATACCCCTTAGAACAGGCCTTTCTGTATTACACAGTTCACACTCCTTTTCTCTTATTTGGATTTTGCTGAGTGTATGCTACTACAAATTTCCCAATGTTAGTATATGAACTTTGCAGGTATCGAATTTACTTGACATTGTCAAACTTTGGTCTTTCCCCAACTGATTTGCACTGAGGAATAATTGTAGTTGTTATTGTTCAAACTTTGAGAATTCATTTCCAGAATTTAATGTCAATAGTCATTGTGATAACTATTATTTTAGTTAGATGACAATCATTAGAGATCTGGAAGGTCACATAAAATGGTTTGTGGATCAACAAACATTGTAGCTGATGATGGTACCACAGTCTGATGCATGTGGTGATGTGATGATAATCTCTGCCTTTACATGATTTATCCTGTGCCATCTACCCTTTTGTATCTTATTCATTATTATTTCTTTGGGCAGTGTGATGAAGTATCAAAAACAGGAAAAACTGTGATGCCTATTGAGTTTCAGGTATAGTATCTATATTTATTTTATTTTAAAAAGGGGGTAGGGGACAGGAAAATTGGGGAGAGGAGACACCAGGGTGGGGAATCGTACTCTCACCAACAATGTGAAAGTTTAGATAGCCAACCAACAGAGCTACTAAAATTTCCCAGGTACAGTGTCTATATGTTGTTATAACTCGGGGATAATTTTACTAATTCCTGCAGTTGATGTCTTTATAAAGGCAAACAGACGCCAGACACTTCTGTACACTTCAGGAACTCCTTTATATTTTTGGTGTTCTTGTTGGAAAACCAGGAGATACCAATCAGTATCAGATGATTGATTGCTATTTGTTGAGAATCATCTTACATCTCCCCTTGGACTTTAGTATACCTATTACAGACATGATCTTCGCTTTTGTAGATGAAAAAGTATGAAAAGTCAGCATGTTACTTCCTGAGCCTGATTGCATCGAACTACTTGTCATCTTTAAAATTAATGTGGAGCTTCTTTTTCCTATGAATTCATCACATCGAGCTCCTCAATGGATGTGTTTTTACACTCTAAAACTTAAACATAACTTTTTTCTGGCAATGTTAATGTCTATATCTTGTTGAGGATTTCTTTTCAGAAAGTTGAAAAATGAGCTGTAGTGTAAATGTCATCCAATGTGGAACTTATTTGTCATGACCTCTTGTGTTGGCATGCCACATTATCATTTGGTGTTTTGGTTGTGTATTGATCTTGATGTCGTGAACCAATCTTGTTACTTGTGAATTACGTTGGCCAAGTTCATCCTCTTCCTCAGTACCTGTTCTTTCCATTATCTTACTGCTATACGCCTGATTTCGTCCATTATTCTGTGAGAAAGAAGAGAGTTTGACAGAGAACCCAACTTGATTATTCCCTCAAGCTATTGATGTTTAAATAACTATGTGATACATGTTCTAAAAAGGAAAGGAAATCAATACCTAATTTCTTGAAGAGCTTTTCCTGGTAAGAAATTCAATTCTGTCTAATACATAATTACTTGTCTAAGCAGATGTGGCATTTCCTAGTTGTTTCTTTCAAACTGAAGCTTGTAGCTGTTCTCTCTTTTTTAATATTCAATGCATTTCAATAAGAGTTGCCCTTGCTGTTCAATTCCTGGTCCTTTTTCATGCAGTCTTAGAGATAAGCTTTACTGATCATATAATATAAATAGGAATACGATCATTTCTGCGAAAGTTTCCAGCTACTATTTAAGTTTCTATCATAACTTATGAATTGTTTGTTTTCTTATCACCACAAAATAAGTGGTATGCTTGTCAAATCTCTTGGAAATCTCATTAGAGCTCCTTTTACCCATTTTTACTAAAGCAAATTCTAATATTTTTGGGGAAATCTCAATCATAGTACCCTTTGCCAACACTGTTGTTCTAGTAGACAATCTCTTTCTTTTTAAGCAGATTTTTCCGCTTATGCAAAATTACAGGTCAATGGCACTAATTTAGCGGAAATCGAAGGTGGAGAGGTGGCAACCACAAACTTACTGTCCTGCAATGGTCCAGAGTTTGTAATGCAACTAAGCTTTCAAGTAAAGGATAGCAGTGGTTTGAAAGTTGGTTCAGGTAACATGTGCATCATTTGTCACGACAAACACCTGCCAAGTATTTTTCTCAAATCCTGTTATCGTAGTCTATGCATTATATAGTCTGAGATAAATTTTCTCAGGAACAAAATCCTCCTTCGAAGCACATGCTCGCCTGAGGTGTGTTTATTTTCCGGTGGCGCAGGTAAAACTATATTGTACAGTTCTGTTATGTGTCATTGAACCTTGAAATTTCTTTTTGATGTCATACAGATACTACACTTTATAAGAAAAAGAAGAGTCTGCTCTTGAAACATTTTGAAGGATGTTGCATGCTTTTAATTGCAGGGTAAAGAGAGCATTGAGGTGATATTGGAAAAGCTAGAGGCAGATGGGTATGGAATTACCGAGAATTTTGAAACTTTCAGCCATGTTTCTGTCCGTCGGTTGGGTCGTCTACTTCCAGATGCTCGTTGGGTAAGATCAGAATCTTTCTGTTACTCATAGTTTGGGTCGTCTACTTCCAGATGCTCGTTGGGTAAGATCAGAATCTTTCTGTTACTCATAGTTTACAAATTATGATTCGCCAGTCTTATATTCCATCACTACACAGTCTGCCAAAGAATACCTTCATGATAATATTTCTCCAAACTTTGAAAGAAAGAACATGTGTGCCTATCTTTATGTAATTTACTAGAATCAGTGTATATTTGTGTTATTCTATATGAACTACTCGCCTTTGTCTCGTTGCCCAATCTTTTAACTTTTTCTCCTTATTTTTATTATGCCCTCAAGCTTAAAAAATGTCAACTATATTTTCTGCTTTGTTTCTTTCAGTCTTGGCTTCCCTTTATGGAACCAAAGCTAAGAAAAAGTGATAGGGCTGAAGTCCTGAAGAGATGCTGCTTTAGAGTAAAATGCTTCATAGGTATAAAACCATTTGTACCAAACAAGTGCTCTCTTATTAATGAATAGGCAATTGCTTCTTTTTTCCAAGCATCACTGAGCAATATTCTGCTTGCAGAGACCGATGCTGGTTTCAACCCAACACCGTCAAAGGTACAAGGCAACTTCCTTAAATGCATGCTGACGACTTGACTGAGGATTTAATTGCACGTCAGCATGTGTACATATAGAAACACATTTCCTGGAATGCAAAATGAGAATATTTATATACATTTCTATATATCAAGGCAGGAACTAACTATGTGGAGAACAGTAGAAATACTTGTTCTGTAGACTAGAGAATTATAAATATGCAAGTAATAGTTCCTTAGGAAGTCGAAAGTTTTCTAATGCCAAACATCTTTGGTCTGATTTTTTTAACACCACGAAAAATTTAAAGTTCATACTAAACGACGTGCATTTGGTATTGTTGCTAGTTCACCTACTTCTATTTATCTAGGACAATCTTGCAGACAACCATAGGTATCTTTTAGTCTTATGAAATCTGCTGAATGTATTTTTCCAGACTGACTTAGCACATCACCATCCTTTCACCATTGCATTAAGGAACTTTGGCAACAAGCCTTCAAATAAAGAGAATGGTAATGACTTATGGTTTGTTGTGCACTGTTGATATCCCACAACTATGCAATGAGGTTTCTTTACTTTATGTTTCAAATCCTTTTTAGATGTTCTCATTGAGATAGCCAAAGATGGAAAGAAGTTGTCTCTCTTGCAATTGGAGAAGCTATATCAGGAGTGGCTGTTTCAGATGCATGATCGCTATGACGAGGAGATTGACTGTGGAGAGGATCAACCTACTTTTGTAGTTGTTGGCCCTTTACACAAGAAAAAGCTTGGCGTTTCTGCAGATGGTATAGATTGAAAAACGAAATAGGAAGCCTTATGATGAATTCTTACAACCTTGTAGAAGATTGTGATTCAGTTACAATTCATACTCATTGTTGTTTCTCTTGTTTTGTTTTTTAGTTATGAGAATTCATAAGGCTTTCCAGAGGAAAGGCATAACTTGGAAAGCAGGGCAGAAGATTAAAATTTTGAAGGGAGCTTACAGGGGTTTCCATAAGAACAACATTTTCGCCACATTGGAATTTATTATCCTTGAAGGATGGCAGGGGGACTCGGGCGGTAAGTTTTTATATGGTTCATGAAGCATGCCCTTCTGGATGCTTTATCCTGTGGGTTGGTAATTAGTTTCCACTGGTACTATCCGTTGACATTGACTTGGTGTTGTAACATTTTTCTCAATATGTTTCAGGTGAGGCTCGAATTATCTGCAGGTCTGCAATTCACCGCTTATATTTCATACCTGATACCACTATCTTTTATGGTGTGTTTCCCTCCTTCAACCAGTGTTACCTTAAAAATTGTTTTACCATGTCATTTACAGGCCATTAAATGTCCCAGCTGAGAGTGGTTGTCGCCTCACATTTGATAAAGGATGTTCTTGCTTTGAAATTCGTGATTCAAAATCTTTGCCGATTAGTGTGATTGACACTGGAAAGGTCATCATATTTTCTGTTACTCTTATTATGTTTCTCTCTCTCTCTCTCTCTCTCTCCTTTCTCTTGACATATCTATCTTTTCTGAAGAATTAGTGTCATCTTTTGCAGTGCTTGTCTGTTGATAAAACAGAATGGGAGAACCAAATTTTGAAACACCAAGAGAAAACCACACCATCATCAATCGATATATTAGACGCTGAGCAATGTTTGGAATTGGAAATTGAGGGGGTTAGTTAACAAGGCAGCTTGCTTCTTCTAACAACTAGTTTATTTTTCGCTTTTTTTTTTATTATCAAGAACTAGTTTCATTAATAGAAGCTATAAACTCCTGTATATAAGAAACATACCAACCAAAATAGGAATGTACAAAAATAACTTGTTCTCTACAATATAGTATAGACATCCAATCATTGTACAGATAGGAATCTCATGTATACACCAAAAAGAAATGAGCGCTATTATTCATGTATAAATTCATGTTCAATTCCTTCAAAATCTCTTCTACTTTCTCTCTTCACTACCCACATGAAAGCTAATACAATGTCCCACTGAACAAATCGTCCTTTATTGTCCCCAGCATAATCCACAGTTGTCCAAACCGTCTAAGAATCACCCAATATAACCTTGAAGCAATCTCACAATGTAATCAAAGGTGATCCACATCCTCTCCCGATCTTTTGCACATAAAGTACCAACTAACATAGGTGACCCTCTGATTAGTTGCTAATTTTCTTTTATAATACTCTGTAGATTTGTTTACTACATCTACTTGGGATCCAAGTCAGGTTATGTGGCGTTTTAACTTATCGAAATGAACCTGAACAGGTCTACAGGGTTTCAACTGATTCAGCCTGGTAGAAATTGTTGTGTGTGTGTATCAAGTAGAACATGTTTCTCCATTTCCTTCTAAGTTTTCTGTGCTTAATACTTTGAATATCTTCGAAATTGATTAGATTTAAGCTGTTGATAATCTTAGATTGTACCACATATTAGTATGTTTTTATTGAATTGCTTCATTTGGTTGCAATTGCAGGCGCTACCTCAGGATGTTGATGCTGGACATGAACCTCCAGAGGAGATTACTGCAGTTGTTCGTCCAGTTTCTTTTACTTCTGCTACTGCATCCAAAAATTTGGATCAGAAATACATCATGAAAGAAAATTTTGTGATGACTCTAGAGATCAAATTTAAAGCAGATGAGAATGAGAAAGAACAACATATTTACTCTGGCAAATTGAATCCTTCATCGCTTAAAGGATTTCATGGTCTATATATGTTCCCCCTGAAGAAGAAGTCACCAAACCTTTTTCAGACAGCAGGCATTTATCTATTTCGATTTTCTCTTGTAAGTTATATGATCTGCAGATCTCCATTTTAATATATACGGAATCATGTATTTCACTTGATTTTCCTTGCGGTTCGATCTCTTCTTTTCAGATAGAAAGTTGTACAATTTCTGTAAAGGAAGTGCGCGTGAAAGCATTGTCTGAGCCTGCTAGTTGGGAACTTGTAAGTGATGGGAAGAGTACACACAGTGTTAGGTGGGGCTCTCAAGTCTAAATGAACTTCTTATATAAGTTGTGCTAAATGAAAAAATTTCCATCACGGAGTCATAAGATTGTTAGATATACTTGAGATACTTTTGATGTTCTATATTACAATTCTTAAGCTTGAAATTATAAGGAAACATCAGAAGGACCGAGAAAGTAATTAGTCACCCTGCATTAAATTAACAAAATGTGCTATTTTCTGTAGACAGAGAAAATGTCAAGACTGATAAAAGCAAAAGAGAGATTAACAGATAGAGGAGAACTGCCTTATCTTAATGTTAACACTGTTAAAGATATGTCTCTTTTATTAGTTTATTTTAGTTCTTCAACATGCTTCTTTGGATGATTCTTTTCCTTGGGTAACATAGAAGTATTTTTCTTGGTGGTTGGCAATGTGACAAGAACTCAAGACCTCTTCATATACTGAATTTCTGAATTGCTTCATCTATTGTTTTAGCTGTAAGAGAAGAGACTTTCGTTAAATTTAAGATTTCAACAATATTGAATGCTCATTTCTCTTAATTTATGCATTCAGTCTATGAATTAATCGATTTTCATTTATTCTATTAAGAACTTTATCAAGTTGTGAGATGAATAGGACATACACAATAATCTTTTTCGTATAATAGCTAAATCACAAAGTAGTTTCATAATCATCAGTAGGATGTTTGAGCTGTTTCCTTAATTATGCCTCCTTCCAATGTTTGTGAAGCTGTTTTAGATAAACTTGTAAACCAATTACTCATTACGACTTAAGAGCGTCATGCAACATTTCTTTCTTTCTGTAATTACCTTAAGTATCCTATTTATTAGAAATTGAGATTCAGCATCTGTTTTTTTTCTAAGATAAGCTGACTATTTTCTTTCACCTCTTTATATGCAAGTCTTGCTCATTTTTGTCAAAGTTATGTTTGATTTTGTTCAAATGTGTATCTTTGGCAGGGTTGGTTCTTGTTTACCAGAGGTTTTCAGTGTTGCATGTCGTGATAGATTCTTCAATCGTATACCATTCAAGTCACAGACAGAGATAGAGATGAAGTTAAGCTCTGGCGGCAGAGCTATTTCATCTGAATGCAGTTATGACCAATATATTACACATGACAGCTATACCATGAAATTTAAGGTTCCTGCTTCTTGTCCTCTTCAATATACCTAGCAAATCTTCTTGAATAAATAACTGTGTCAAAAATTTCCATACTGCAGAATGTAACCATTGAAAGTAGTGAATTGGATATGATTCGACCAAGTTATAATGCTACGTTACATATAAATTCAAGGGAGGATCCATTTGTTGTAGCTATTCCATGTGCAGGTAGTTAATACTATCTTGTTGTCCATTATTTAAGATATAACTTTCTGTTATTTCTTATTTATTTTCCCTCTGTTCACAGTTATTCCAGGACCATTGCAGCGTATCCTTCTGCGTCCTGTAGATTTTGGCAAGAAATTGGTTCCTGGGATGGTACTTAAGGAGCTTGCACTTGAGGTCTGTTTAATTATATTTTAATTCAGTATCCTACTATCACTTAAGGTGTCTTCGAGTGCCACATGAAGTATATTTCAGCATTTCTATCAACACACTGGTCTATGTTCCAGTGAATAGTTCTTTAAAATCCTTTCATGCTTGAAATTGTGAAAGAACACTTTTAACTACAGTGTCGTTTTGGATTCTTGAGAAGTATAATAACATAATTTTTTTCGCAAGTGTATTATCTGAATATTTTTTTCGAATAGAGAGAAAAGGGGTACCATTTAAAAAAAATTGTACAATATGCAATTTATTTTAGAAAATAAATGTCTGGTATTGGATAGTAAAATTAGGAAGCCAAAAAAGCCAATGCTAGTACCAGAAGATTGGATTTTTTGATGTCTTTGGGGGTCCAATCATCTTGGAGAGTGTTGAATATTGCAAAAGAGCTATGATGGAATAACCAAGTGCCTGTTTTTTTAGGTTTTGATGAGAAGTATAATATGATTACTTGTATGTTGCATCTCTGTGTTGAGTTTAAATGTAGAGTGCAAATTCCTTTCTTCTTCTTTAAAGGATATGATATTTGTGGTAGTGGTTTAACACAAGAAACAACCACATGTGGACCAAAGCTGCTTTTTGCTTTCCTGTATGACAGTTTAACATAAGTTCATTGTGACCGGTAAGCATTATTATATATTCATCCTTACTTTTTTCCCTGAAAGGTAATACACAGTCTTCCTTTTTTTCCTCATGAAATGTACATACAGTCATCCTTTATTTTAACCTACGGATTATAGTTCCCATATGTTTGTCAATGAGCATTGCTATATCCTCTTATAACTACTACAGGATTGATATTAACCGAAACTAATGGGACCTGAAAATGATAAAGGATCTCACAAGAATAGGATTGATCAGTTCGGTTTTGAACTTAGTCTTCTGCTCGTTGTAATCAGTGTGGCCGTCTTAATTATCTTGCTTATTACTTGCTTGTTTGCCTTCCTTGACAGAGTTTATAAAGTATAATTCTCTAAGCAAATATGTACAAATCGACCAATTGTAACATGTTGCATCAGAATACTACATGTTTTCTTAATTATACATCAATGTTGATCGGAACAATGGCAATCTTGTATTACAAGAATCAATTAATGACTGTGTACGATATGAAAACAATAGCTAACTTAACAGCTGCTTGATAAACAATAATATCTTGTTCACTTCTTTGCTGAAGGGAAAAAAAAAGCTCTCATGTCCCACTTGTTTATTCTTGTTTTGTGGTTTATTAGTGTATGTAGCTCCATTTGGCTTTCCTGGTAGCTCTTTTTCTTTGTTTGCATTTTGTTTGGTTGTATATTATTATTTTATTTTATTTTATTTGATACAGACATTTGACAAATATGGTAACCATATGAGAAAAGATGAGCACATCAAGCTGACACTGGAAGGATTACATTTACTAGATAAAGGAAATTCTTTTTATAAGGTGGTTTTCTTTTTCTTTTGGGTTGTCACATCCATTGTTTAGTTTGTTAGAGGGAAAAATCACATTTAAGAAGATAGTCTACACTTGTTTTTATTCATTTATTACCATCTTTTATAGCAATTTGAAGAGTGAGAATTATTGTCTTTTCTATTTGACTTGTTCGAACTGATTATGTACGTCGAGATTTGTGTTTTTGGGTCATTTCAAAGTGTCACATACTCTGACAAAAAGTTTCAAAAAATCAGATGTAATAAGAAATAAAACTTCAGATGATAAGCATAGTGTTTCTCTTCCTAATTTATGCTTTAATTAGTTTAATCATTGCCAGACAAATTCCATTGGAGACCATGGTCTCACTTGGTAACTTATCAATGTTCAAATGCCCATTGATAAGCGGGGACCTTATATGATGATACTTGGAGAGAATGTTTATTGTTTGAAGATGATCAATGTATTCAACTCTTTTGTCGAGAACAGTCCAAAAATCGTGAATCACTCTATTCAAGTTTGACCTATCACAATATAACTGGTTTAAGACCAATCAAGGTGTTATTCGGTTTGGTATGGTTCCTTTATACATTTATTTTTAGGGCTTAGCCAAAATTAAAAAAAAGTAGATATTTTCAAAGAGGTCTGAGCCAAATAGGAGTTAGTCTAGCTGTACCATCAATTGTGCTATCCAACTTGTATACTTTTTCGTGTGCACATAGACGCACAAAAGTTTTTAAATATTCACCTTGAGTCACGTGGATTAGTTAATGTCCCTTTATTTGGGTTGGTGGCTTGGTGCATGCCAATTGATTTTTGATGTCTAAGGTCTTTTAAACCTTTTTGTTTCCATATTATTTTGCTATTTTCAACTTTCAAGTTGTTTACATTCCTCTGATTTCGTCATGTAGGTTGATGATCATGGGTGTGTAAACCTAAGTGGAACCTTGAAAGTAACAGCAGGGTATGGTAAACTTGGTATGTACTTCAACATAACGTCAAAGTTGCAGTAATAAAGGTTTTGTGTTTATTATCTACTGTCATGTACAAAGATTCATCACCTGTGCAACTTTTTTGTGGTGGCATAAGTATATCAGGCTGACAGTATTACTGCATAGCAATGTGTTGAGTGCTGGTAACTTGCTTCTGCAGTAACTCCAGTTGTATATACTGACTGGAACTTCTTAGTGGAACTGTTAAAATTGACTTTGGATCTAACTCAATCCCATAAAGTAGTCCATGAGATGAGGATTATCCAAGATCATAGAAAGAAACACCAACTCATTTTCTCTACCAATTTAGGACACTTAGCACATACACACACTGGCGGCTCGAAATCGAGCATGGACAACATAACGTGGCTCTGTTTCCATGTTAAGAAATTGGACCTTGGGCCTCTACCCTAAAAATAGCTCTCATGAGGGTGGAGATTTCCCAAGAACTTATAAGGAGACAATAGCCAATGTGTTAAGGGAATAACCTTTGAAAAGGAAGACCTTTAATCCTTTTGAATTATGTACTCCGCAGAACCAACAGGGAGCAATGATTAAGGATCCACTTTAGTATTTTTTTTTTCCGTAGCTGTATTAAGGTCTCTCTGTATTGGTGGCAGTGTTGTTGTGGAGAAAGTGGTATGTGAAGAATAGCTAGATCATATGGTCCCCTGCCTTTTAACCAATAACATTTGAAAGGGTCGACTTTTAAACCTCTTGAATTATGTACTTTGCAGAACAAAGATGGAATTACCATTCAAGACCACAGCTTGTTTTTTCCATATCTGTCTTAAGGCCCTTTATTTAGGTGGGCAATGAAAGAGTGGAGAAAATGGTATTTGAAGAATAGCTAGATCATATGGTCCCCAGTCTTTTAACCTATTTTTTCTATCCACAGTTTCCCTTTCTGTTTTGTCTGGCGATGAAGTAGTTTTCAAGAAAGAGTTCCAAACTGATAGGAGATCGTTGCGAGTTGCATCCAAGGTTTGTCAATACTCCTCATATCCTATATGTTTTGCCAGTAGTTCAACTTATCCGTGTCACAAACTTTGCACGAGTTTTTCGCTTTCTTGCATTTCCCTTAACATACAGAAGAGTGGGGCCAATAACATTTAATTCAAAATCTTTGAAACTGGAAATTACTTGGCTTTTCTGTTTCTTAACATTCTGAATCATATATCTTTAAGAATTCGAAGTCTCAAAGCTGGACAAAAATTCTGTGATAGAGAACTGTTTGATTGTTATGTTAATAATTAAAGTGCACACAACCTACATCAGGTACCTAAAGTTTGTGCTGCTGGTTCTCATTTGGAAGATGTTGTTTTTGAGGTTGTAAATTCTGCTGGTGAAGTGGATGAAGATATCGATAGTGAAATAGAAGATGGCCACTCTCATACCCTTCAGATAAGGCAGGACTCACTGAGGGAAGAAGACAATGTGAGATACAGCTTCCATCGTGGACGCTGCATCGTCCGCTCTATTCCTCTTCCAAATAACGAAGGGCTTTTCTTCTTTGTAGCCAGTCACTCTCGTTTCCACGAGCTGCAGACAAGCATAGAGGTTGTATTCTAGGTGACTTACTTTTCTAGTTTTCTGGTATTACAGCCTCATACTAACTATCTGCAGGTGCATGTCGAGAAAGCTGTAATCCAACCTAGAAGTCCCAAGAAAGAGATTCTGCTTCTTGAGGAATCAAATGGCAAAGGACCAGAAACGGTGTGTCATGACAGCTATGATGGAAGAATAATGATCTTCAATGATTCATGTGCTTCCATGGTTCTGGAAGACAGACAACAGGTTTGTATTTTTGTAGTAGTTTGTGTAGTAATAGTAGTAATAGAAGGACTAGAAGTAGCAGCAGGTCCTGAATGAATGACACATATCTTTCTTTCTTTTTTGGCTTGTTCGCTATCTCTCATTACTGCATTTATTGCTATGTAGACTGTCACTAAACTTGAGTGGTGTTTCTCGACAGAAACTTGGGGATGATATTTGCAGATATGGCCTATGCATCAGACAATGTGATGCAAATGTGGAGTCACTTAGTATTAAGCAATCAAATATTGAGCTTGAGATGTCCAACTTGGGAGGTATTAATTCAGCTGATGCTTGTATGCTACATTACTGTCTACACCTCATGCCTTCAGCTTTCTATAATAGTTATCAAGGTTCTGTCATGCTACTGTGTTGCTGCAATGGTTTGGCTTTATGTAGTCCGGAAATTTTTTAACTGGCACATGAAATTAAAAAACAATGTTATGTGCATCATGAACCATGCCTATCTTAAACCAACTGCTTGGCATGTCTGCATTAGATGCCACGATCTAAACACGTTAATTAGAGATATCTTGACATGTAACCATCTCTTAACTTATTATCTCTTCTTTATGTTTAACATTTTGCAAATTCCAGGGAGGCATGCAAAAGGCAGTGGTAACTTCTTCTTTGAATCATTATCTTGAAAACTTTGTAGCTTCAAACCTAAAGATTACTATTTGCAGAGATTCATATCTGTTATATGTTCTGCTATAGTTGCTTGCTTTCAGTTTGTCTCTACATATTAATATGGTGTTAATTCAGCGTTGTGAAATATTTCACCGAAAAATCTAATAAACTGACTGTGACTTTCCATAAAGGGAAACTGAAACGATCTCAATATTGTTTTTTTCTTTTTGCAACTGATTATTGAAAACGATAGTTGAAGAGGGAAGTTTCATTGCATGTTGACATTGTAGATGCTCTTGTTCTTACACATTGTCCTCTTTATTATATGTGTGATCAAAATTCTGCATTAATTTTCAAAGGAGTACTCTAATATATCGGGGATTTCTGATAAATGCTGAATCATCCTGATTTGATCATCATTTGAAGGCTTTTTCTGTGATCTCTTGCCAGTTTCTAGAGCAACATGTGTAGAATTTCTAGAACTTAACCTTTTAGATTTTACAGAGAAGGCTGCATTTCTTTTAACAATCTTCTGGACTGAACACAGACTGTCTATAATTGTATAAGAAATAAGAAAAATATCAGAAAGGAAATTTATTCATTTATAAGGTAAGCCTTTGAAGTTGCTAATAGAGGTGAGGTAATTGAAATAGTTTTTATTTTCTAATTTAACTCTGCATAATTATTATGGCTATAGGATTGCGTAGTGTGCATGTGAGTGAAAGAAGTGTACCAAAGAGTAGGAATATTGATGGGTGGGACCAGGTCCATGTTGTCATCTCTCTAGCAATTTCAAGTCAATGTTTCAATTTTCAACACTAGTTATTTACTTATTTGTAAGAAGAGGATCAACGAAATAAAAAATTGATGATGGTGTAACTCTTGCAAGTTTCTGTTACTTCAGTTTGGATGGTTTAAATGTAGTCCTGACATTTCTTTTCTGTTCCTTATGTCTCTGGAGTTCTCCCCGACTTGTCCTCTGTTCCGGTGCTATAACTAATGTTGCAATGTAACAATCTGTTAAATTGAAAGAGATCATGTGGTTACTTGTTGAAGAGTGATACCTAATTAGCAACAGACTGTCTTTAACTTCTTTTTAGACATATTAGATGCATCTTAGCAATTGTAACATGAAATGGTCATGGATGCAGCTTATATTGGTCTTGATTCTTTTCACGACTTGTTCTATGATAAAGACGTGATTATGGAGAAGATTGAAGGAAAGGCGGACAGTGCAGCTGCTGTTATACACAAGCTGCTCAGATCACCAAAACCTGAACAGCTTTATCTCAAATATGCTCATGACATACTTGGCGTGGTTGCACTTCTTGGAGAGGTTCGGACCCACAAGCTTAGCAGGTTGGTGCTGGTATCCTTTTCTATAAAATGAAGTACAAGAACTTCCTTGTCTGTATGGATGTAATTGAGTGTGTTTTCTTCCTTTAGCATGCTTTCAACATATCTTGGAGAAGATCAGATGCTTGCTATAGTATGCAAATCCCGTGCAGCTGCCAGAGCTCTTGAAAATTATCAAATGGATGGAAATGTGAATTGCGGCAGTGCTCTTGACATATTAGCAGCTAAGCTTGGAATTTCCATCAAGGGTCGATATTTGGTTATATGCCTTGAGGATATAAGGTAAAAACCTTTCTTTCTTTGGTTTACTTCATACAAAATGATATCAATTGTTAGGATTTTTGGTTTCTCGATCCAGTTGACAAATCATGTTTCAACCATGTTTGGTCAGTGCTCTCTGAAAAAAAAAACAATGTGTAAGGTCCTTGCTTTTTTATTTCAGGCCATATAAGCAAGGAGTCAGCAGTGATCCCCAAAGAGAACTTGCTATTCCACAGCCTACTTTATCAAACAGAGAAACTCCCCCAGGCTTTTTGGGCTACGCGGTTAATATGATATTCCTTCCTGCAGAATATTTGCAGTTTAGAACTGCTTCAGGTTATGGTCTCCGAGAGACATTATTTTATCGTCTGCTTGGTAAGCTTCAAGTCTACAAGTCTAGAGAGCAACTTTACATGGCAAGTTCCTGTATAGAAGATGGTGCGGTTTCCCTGGATGGTGGAATGATGAGAGGAAATGGAGTTATATCTGCATCTGTTGGATCTGAGTATGTACTTCCGTTTTCCTACTTCTCTCACCATTAATTTGTTTTCTCACAAAGTTGAGTAGATTTTGCATGAATGATTATTGTCCGTCTTTATTTTCTTCAGGGAACCATACATTCTATTTCCAGTCATCTGTGTGGAAAGACAGTTGCTCCTCTCACCTGAGAAAGTAGAAAGATTGAAGAGAATTGAAGAGTTGAAGCTGGAACGAAATCAGTTGCAAGATCGAATACAGGAAGAGCTTAGGAATGAAGCAAAGTACAAGAAGAAGTTGGCCAAAAAGCTCATGGATAAAAAGCAGATTGATGATCAGTTGGAACCTTCGCCTGGAATGTACAACTCGGACATGGATATCAGTCCTTGATGCTTCTGAGGCCTTTATGTTTATTTATGCTTGAGACTTTACTTTTTTTGGAACATATTTTTGTGAAGAAACACAGGGTAGTATACTGTACAGATCAACACCTTTAGCTATCTATCCAAGTAAATGAATGATGAAGATGTATCTTTCCACCTACTGTGGTGGCAGAGTTACTTAGTTGTCTTTTGGAAAAGAACTGTAAAGGTGAACCTGCTGCATCTGGTCCCCTTTCAGATATGCTTTTATGCGACAGTAGGAAAGAACAACTACTCCTGTTATTTTTTTGATGCGTAGCAAACAGTTACAGTAATATATTCAAGGAAAATATGTCATAATTTGTCAATCATTAATCTATCTATATCACTTTAAAAGAATGTACATCCTTACTATTATTTTCTTCGTTAAATGACTTTATAATAGATTAAATTGCCATAGATTGTTTTCCTTAACTAGTTGTTATTCTTCTTCTATTAAGACTTTGAAATCAGGCTAAAAATTTTAATTACTAAATATTTCATTGTGGAGCTAGTAGGAAGTTCTTATATTTTGAACTCTAAAACCAAATGCTTGGCAAAAAAATATATCAAAAGTTGCCACACTACAACAATTATATATTCTATGAAATTCTACAAGTATTTTTTTTTCAATTCGATGTTTGATGTCAACATTGAAACTCGATCTAACTATTTCGAAATTACACCATATAGGCTTCATTAGCAGGAAAAGGGCTCCTACATCCAAGCCAAAAGAAATGACAGTGAATACGACATATTAAGTTGCGGACTATTTGTCACGATCCGAGTCTACACTCTGGACGTGGCCAACACTCAAGAATCATTGTTGGTCCCTAAGCGAAATCTCATCTTGACTGACTACAAGCAAAGACTAACTTAAGCATGCAAAAGCTTAAAACTGAAATAAAAGTTCATAAAACTTAAATACAAACTTTAACTCAAAAGGGAACTCTAAATAATAAAATATACTCAATTCGCCCCAAAATAGGCAACTTAAGTCTTTAAAAGATTTAATAAAATAAATGAATAATACAAACTTCTCAACTATACTAACTATCTATGAAACCTCTAACTGATAATGATGGAAGTTGGGACAAGACCCACAACATTCTGACTAAACTGAAAAGTAACTGAAATCTCCCGAAAGTAAGGAGACTCACCATATCTAACTCGAACTCTCAGATGTATCAAACGAATCTCCTGTTGATGACTCTAAATACCTGTGTCTGCATCATGAAAAGATACAGGACAAATGGCTCAGTACGTGGAATGTACGAGCATGTAAAAGGAATTCTATGTCACGTCCTGAGCATACACCCTGGACGTGATCGACACTCAATGACCATTGCTGGCCTTGAGCAAACCCTTGACCTGACTTACTTAACGCAGCGGAAGACTTAACTCAATGAAATAGACTCATTCAATAACTTAAATGGCCAAAATGACACTTAAGTGTCAATGACAAAATATCAGCAATACAAAGATGAGAGGCTCAATACTAACTGTCTGACTGTCTATGAAGCCTCTATAATACTAAGATGGATGTTGGAACAGACCTCACAACATCATATCAAAAGAAAGATTGAGAAGTAATAATTGTGTCATCCAGAATGCAAGGAGGCTCACCACCGACTCCGAGTGCTCAGTTGGATCAACGAGGCGCTGGATTGTGCTGTCTTGGTTACCTGCGTCTGCATCATGATATGATGCAGGCCAACTGACATCAGTACATTGAATGTACAAGTATGCGAGTTGGAATGCATACTACAACTTAAGCTTGAAAAAGAGTAAGAAGGAACAATTACCTTGGCTCTGCCCAACTAATGAATAATTTGACTTAATATAAAACAATTAAACACATGCAATATATAAAGCTTGTAAAAAATGAAAACACTTAGTTCGTTAAAGAAAATCCAATAATAAACTCAACTTTACTTATATACGAAGTAATATCGTTTTTATGGGAGATTCTCTAACAGACAACCATCACTATAAGCCTAAGTGGTGATACAACGTCTTCCTCACGCTGTCAAAACTGTCCTATACTTTGTCGTTGCATAGAACTACTTAACTTAGTGGATCCACTAGCTTAACTACTTGATCATCTAAAAAGTATGGTCTGTTAATACCTATGATGACTATATAATTTTAATGGATACTTGAGTTAATATGAACTCTTATCCCCGCATCGATGCTCAGTGCTACTGTCAAAATATACTTTAGCTCATGTTTTTAAAACAACTTCTTTCTTTGGGTTGATATTATTGCTTAACACTTAGCTTTAGAAAACTCTCTTGGAATCAGTGTTCCCTTTTTCTTGCTCAAAACTCTTTGGAAATCTTAGTATCCTCTTAACTTAAATGTAAAAACAATTGTAACTCATAGGAACTTATATGAAAGAGTGGGGAAGGAATGGGGTGAACTAGCGTCCTCTGCGCTATGAGAGGCGTGGGGCGCCAGGCCCCACACTTCAGAGGGCAAGCTGGGACACTATGGCTGGTGTGGCGCCCCAGGGCCCTACGAACATTTTAAATTTTCTCCTCCGTTTTCATCTCTAAACCCTCTAAACTTCCATTGATCTTTCTTTGAACACTTAGGGATCATTAGTACCTTTAATATCCAATAGATTTGACTCAAAAAACAACTTGGTAACAGAATCAAATCAACACTAGGCATGCAACAACTCAACGAACAAGAATTTAAATAAGTTGGTGTGGGGGTGAATTAACCCAACACAAAAAATCTCAGATACCTTGATAGGGATCATCCCTAACCAATTCCACTCGCAGACCTTGGCAATCTTGGCGAATTCTTGACTTTTCTCCCTTTCCTTCTTCTTTTTTCTCTTCTCTAAGCCTAAATCGTGATTTTAATTTTCTAATCTGAACCAAAACTTGTTTTTACACCAAATAAATCCCTAAAATGAAATAAGAAATTAATTAATGAAAAGACTAGTTTGCCCTTCCTTAAATCTGGATTGGGATTTTCCTTACTTCAATTTCCCAACTTTCGATAGGCATATCTCCCTCATACGATATCAAAAATGCGCAAACTTGGCGGTGTTAGAAAGACCTCTCCAAGTACATTCTAACCATATCAATAACTACCCATAAATCATCACGGGCTATGAGTTATGACCGTTTGAAAGTGATCAATACTCACTTTCTCTTACAACTCACACTTTCCACGCCAAGAGTTCAAAATAAGTATAAGACACGTGGCATAAAGATCGTCTCCGGTGCTCAATGAGACAAAGGCGCAAGATAGTCCAATTATTTTAACTTTATACCTCTCCATCTCATTTTATATTGGAATACTTACATAAATATACTATAATAAAAAATATTTACTATTTATAGTAATAATATTTTTTTTACTTGATCAATTTTAATTCATTTATAATACAAGTTTGATACATATTACAAAGAACAATTTATTATTCACATATAATACAAATTTTAACGATGAATAATACATTTATCACACATTTTTATACACTTATAATACAATGTGACAAATTTTTACCAAACAAACATGATATATATTAAAAAATAATTATAATTCATATATATTGCATACACAATTCACTTCTAATACATATTGCAGATTTAACAAAGCATTACTATAAATGGCAATAAACAAAAAGTATCGTTAAAATCAGTAAAAAAAATTTAAATGTATTAATTTATATAATTTTTCCTTTTATAATTAGGTATTTAAGAATAATATTATATATTTGAAAATTTGGTCCAAAAATATTTTATACTAGATAATGAAAGGCTCGTTTACGGGCCCAATATTATAACCTTATAAGAGAAATTTTATTAGGTTTTTAAAAGGAAAATTATTATAATATTTTCAAATAAACATGATAGGGAATAACAATAAAACATAATATTTATAAAAAATAATGACATGCTTGATGAAAATTATAATGAATCATACAAAGTAATAAAAGGATAAAAATAATCATGACCTTCTGTCTTAATATTTATTAAAATTAGGAAAATAATTTTTATAGTAAACAAAGATTTTTTTCTAAAGTAATTAATAAACATGATGAATAAATGTTTTATCTCAAGTAAAGAAGATTTATAAATTTCAGCAACAGTTGATATAATATATACTGCAGTAATTTAACATGAGGTAGTTAGTATAATAATTTATATAACTTGCTTAAAACTGATTTATCTATGATAAAATAAAAAGTAATAAATGAATATATATTTTTCAATAAATTATTCTTATATTTTCTAGAAAAATTTTACAATATATAGTTTTTAGAAAAGTCATGTAACTTGTGGAGGAAATTTACCACTTGAAAAAAATATATTCTAATGAAGTTTAAAAATAAAACTTATAGTTTTAAAAATGAAATATATATGAAATAATCATATTACCCTAGATCGTCCTCAACTTTTTTAATCAAACTTACATCAATTCACATATTTAGATTAATATGTTTGAAATCAAGTAAAAGTACAAATATGATTATATATTTTAATGAAGAACTACACCTTTATAATCTAATAAACATTTTTAGTTTACTTTAAATACAAATATATCATCCTATTTATTTTATTTGTAAATTTACTTTTTAACATCTTCTAAAATATATATTTTTAAAATTACTAAAAATAAAATTTATTTATTCATTAACTTCAATCTAATATATATTATTAATTTTATCATACTTGTTTCTTTTCAGGTATATTAATTAGAGTCAAAATAAAGATGAAAATAATTAACTATATTTTTAAGCAATAAATTTTTATGTTAAAGTAGACATTTTTAGTAAGCATAAGAATATAAAAATACTAGGAATTAATCAAAGTAATAGTTAAATAGAGTAATGAATAGATATCCCAGTAACTCATAAAAAAACGTGAAGTGATAACAAAATGAGTTGATAGAAATAACATTAACCAGATGTTTATAGAACTATTTAGTTTCTTGTTAGATTTTTGTTAATATGAATTAAATTTTTTACCCTTGATCATCATTCACTTCATATACAAAGAGATCTTTCTAGATTTTTTTTTTTGCTATCTTTCTTAATAGATTTTTGTTAGTATAAAATTACATTTTTATCGTTGGTCGTCCTACCACTTCACTCTTCTATATAATATAATATATAAAATTTATATAGTTGGTATTATCTAGGGTTTTAACAAAATCAAGCCTGTTTTTGTTTCTGCTATTTGCATTGTTCATTTATAATACAAGTTTAATACATATTACAAGAAACAATTTATTATTCACATATAATATAAGTTTTAATGATGGATAATGCATTTATAACACATTTTAATACACTTATAATACAATTTGACAATTTTTTTACCAAACAAACATAAAATATTTCAAAAATAATTATAATTCAAATATATTACAAACATAATTCACTTTCAATAGATATTACAGATTTATCACAGTATTGCTATATATGGTAATAAACAAAAAGTATCGCTAAAATCAGTAATTATTTTTAAAAATGTTTAATTCATGTATTTTTTCCTAATTATTTTCTTCCAATTTATGTGACATGAATAAAAATTGAAAAAATGAACTAATTTTTTATATGTGTTTTTTTGCAAAATATTTTAAATTGTTAATGTATTTACCTTTTATGTCATTTTTAAATAGTATATGTTATTCCATCTGTTTCATTTTATATGTTACAAGTGATTTTAGGAAAGTCAATGGGATTTCGTATACGATTCTCACATATTTTTAGTTGTCATTTTACTGTGATTTATAGTATTTTTTAGTTCTTACGTCATTTTCAAGCAATATATGCAATTTTCTTTTGTTTAGACAAAAATAAAGGAATCAACCAAATTTCATTACAAATTTTAATTATGTTTTTCTAAAAATATCTTGAATTGTTACATTGATATTTTAAGCTTCTTTTTTATGTAATTTTTAAATATGCAACAAATTAGAAATTAAAACAAAGAATTAAAGTTTTCAAATCATTATATATTGATATTAAAATATTTAAATCTTTAAAACTCCACATATATGCACAAATTAATAGAAGGAAACCAAAAGAATTTTTTTAAAAAATATATGAAAGCTCATTTTAATAATAAACACAGATATATTTTATTTTTAATATATGATCCCTCCTTTTCAATTTATATGAACTTATTTTTTTATTTCATCTCAAAAAGAAAATAACTTCTGAATTTTAATTTTTTTACATCACATATTTAAGATCACAAAATTTAAAAATATTTTAATACACAAAATTTAAATATACATATAAATTTTAGTTTTATTTTTGATTGATTTCATCTAATATTATATTTGATATAGAATTATTGAGAGCTAATCGTAATCATAATTAATTTACTTTCATATAATGAATAAATATCACAATAATTCATAAAAACTAGAGAAATACAAAAAATAAGGTAATATTAATAATAATAATTAAAGATATTTCTAGAACCATTTTAATTTTTTTGTTATTGGCAGATTTTTGTTTGTATGAAGTTACATTTTTTTAACCTTTGATCATCATTCACTTCACATATAGAAAGATGTTTCTAGAATTATTTATTCTTGATAGATTTTTGCTAGAATAAAATTACACTTTAATTCTTAGTTGTCTTTAAAGTTACTTTTTATCATCTTTTTATCTTTAATTTCAATCTAATATATATTATTCATTTTGAATTGTAAAATTACTTTTTAACATCTTTTTATCTTTAATTTCAACCTAATATATATTATTAATTTTTATCACACTTATTTATTTTCAAATATATTAATTAGAGCCAAAATAAAGATGAAAATAATTAATTCATGATAAATTTTTATGTAAAAAGTAGGCATTTTTTTATAAGCATAATTAATAGAAAAAATATTAAGAATTAAAATAAAAGTAATAGTAAAATAGATTAATAACAAAATAGATATCACAATAACTCATAAAAGAAAAGATAGTGAAGTAATAACAATAACTTAAGATGTTTCTACAACTATTTAATTTTCTTGTTATCATTCTAGGTAGATTTTTATCAGCGTGAAATTACATTTTTACCCTTTGATCATTATTCACTTTATATAAAGAAAGAGATTTCTAGAATTATTTATTATCTTTCTTAATAGATTTTTATTAGAATAAATTACATTTTTGCCCCTAGTAATCCTTCCATTCACTCTTCTATATAATATATATATATATAGAGAGAGAGAGAATAAAATATATTAATAGAAAAATAAATAGAAAAATATTAACTATTCAAACACATTTTATTTTAATTAGTTCAAAAATTTCTTTCAAAAGTATGTAAAAACAAGCTTAACATTCATTATTGTTTGTTTAATTAATAGAAACTCTTCACTTTAACAAAATTACAATAATATCCTTATGAGCCCAAAATAAAAATTAAGACATGTATGAATTATTCTAGATTTTTCATTTTGACCATAATGTCATTGGTCGTCCTTCTCATGATTCTTCTATATAGTAGTAATACAAAACAAAAATTAAGACATGTATGAATAATTCTAGATTTTTTATTTTGACCATAAATTACACAATTATTATTTTGCCCTTAAATGATGTTAAAATTACTAAAATGTCATTGGTCGTCCTTCTCATGACTCTTCTATATAGTAGTAATACAAAACAAAAATTAAGACATGTATGAATTTTTCTAGATTTTTCATTTTGACCATAAATTACACAGTTATTATTTTGCCCTTAAATGATGTTAAAATTACTAAAATGTCATTGGTCGTCCTTCTCATGACTCTTCTATATAGTAGTAATACAATAATATCCTTATGAGTCCAAAACAAAAATTAAGACATGTATGGATTATTCTAGATTTTTCATTTTGACCATAAATTACACAATTATTATTTTGCCCTTAAATGATGTTAAAATTACTAAAATGTCATTGGTCGCCCTTCTCATGACTCTTCTATATAGTAGTAATACAATAATATCCTTATGAGCCCAGAACAAAAATTAAGACATGTATAAATTATTCTAGATTTTTCATTTTGACCATAAATTACACAATTATTATTTTGCCCTTAAATAATATTAAAATTACTAAAATGTGGTCGTCCTTGTTCATTGCTATTCTATATAGTAGTAATATAAAATTTATATAGTTGGTACTATCTAGGGTTTTAACAAAATCAGGCCTGTTTTTGTTTTAACAAAATCAGGCCTGTTTCTGTTTCTGCTATTTGCATTGTGTAAGGTCTATCATGTTGGGTATGTTTGTTATGATGCTTTATCATTTTGTTTTGAAAGAACTGGTTTATAGATATGATCTAAATTACAATCTTTCTTTTTTGTTTTTGGAAAAAAGATATCAAAAGAAATTGTAACGCTTCTCTACCGTGTATCCCAAGTCTGTATTGGCTGCAAATCCGATAAATATATCTTAAGAGTTAGTACAACTATTCAATTCTCTCGTTATTTCTATCTTAAAACCATCTTGGCAAAGTATTTTACTGCACTTTCGTGGTTTTCAGTTACGTTTTTCTGTATGTGTTTCAGGGGAAAAATGGGAGCTTCCATTCATAGATCATCGAGAGACAGAGGCATAGGAGGAAAATCAAATCTCCATACTTAAAGGTTGTTGCATCATTCCAATACACAATTTGCTTATCTGTGGTCAAAACATCTTTATTAGAAATACATTTCAAATTTGCAGCCCTACATATTTATTTTCTGTGGCTTTTGGTTGAGTTTTGAAATCTCTATGCTAGAAACCGTCCCAGCCTGAACTTAGACAAGTAGTTACATATCAATGAACTCATGTTTGATTTTGTCTTGTCATTCCCCTGCAATTTGGGCACTGTGAAGTATCCTGTATGTTATCTCATGAATGTTTTGAACAAAAATGAATAAAGTAACAGGAGATAATATCAATTTTGAATTGGATTCAGAAAACCTTGAATGATCAACGAACTACGAGTTTCTAGTTATTTCTAACGGAGAGCAGCCTCTACTTGAAGTTCCTTGGTGTTATTACGAGTCATGTGCTAATGAGTTATCAGTAGATACCTTTTTTCAAATGCCACTTTGATATTAGTTTACTTTGCAATTGTGTTCATAAGTTCATTGTAAATCTTATATTACAATAGCTGTGAGAGATTCTCTGGAAATTTATATGTCAATTTGAAAGTGGTGAAATTAACCCATAGAAAACACTAGTCTATTGAAAGTTTACCTATTGGAGGCAAACATTGAATTCATAGTCACTAGCCACCAATAATAGAAAGACATAAATTAATACTCTTTTATAGGGAGAAAGAAAAAGGCAACAAGATGATTACAAGCATTTAAATGGAATATATCACTATGCCTCTCGATATATATATCCTTGAAAACTTACCGACATACTAATTCTATCTTCCTTTTTAGTCTATTTTCTCTACAGATGCTCCTTGTCTCTTAATAGAAACCACGGCTGCTTTTACCTTATATTATGTGATTCTTAATTCATCCAACCTACAAACTGGGAATCCAACAATATTTTGGTTTCTATATCTAGCAGTTCCTTTATCCTCTTGGCTGACATTTGCTTATATGATCGTTGCTTTTACAGCCTTACTTTGGTATGCTTGGTTATGGAGGGCCTATTGCATCTATGCATTTAGGCACGTGTGTCTTGCTAAAGTTTAGAATGACTTCATTTTAGACAAAAAAACAATGACTTACTTGTTTTCATGCTCTGCCTTTTCTGTAGAAGAGCCTCTGTTTCATCAAAAACAAAGGAGTGTAACATTGTGTGTGTGTATATATATGAACTGAGTACTATTATCCATGTGGGGGTCCGGGTATTGTGATTTTGAAATTATTACTTGTTGCTTCAAGCATCATTTTCCGTTTCTTTTGCTTATTACCTATTCCATTTGTACTCCAGCTATTGTAATACACCTTAGAACAGGCCTTTCTGTATTACACAGTTCACATTTCTTTTCTCTTATTTGGATTTTGCTGAGTGTATGCTACTACAAATTTCCTATTGTTAGTATATGAACTTTGCAGGTATCGAATTTACTTGACCTTGTCAAACTTTGGTCTCTCCCCAACTGATTGGCACTGAGGAATAATAGTAGTTGTTATTGTTCAAACTTTGAGAATTCATTTCCAGAATTTAATGTCAATAGTCATTGTGATAACTATTATTTTAGTTAGATGACAATCATTAGAGAGCTGGAAGGTCACATAAAATGGGTTGTGGATCAACAAACATTGTAGCTGATGATGGTACCACAGTCTGGTGCATGTGGTGATGGATGATGTGATGATAATCTCTGTCTTTACATGATTTATCCTGTGCCATCTACCCTTTTGTATCTTATTCATTATTATTTCTTTGGGCAGTGTGATGAAGTATCAAAAACAGGAAAAACTGTGATGCCTATTGAATTTCAGGTATAGTATCTATATTTATTGTATTTTTAAAAAGGGGTAGGGGACGGGAAAATTGGGGAGAGGAGACACCAGGGTGGGGATCGTACTCTCACCAACAATGTGAAAGTTTAGATAGCCAACCAAAAGAGCTACTAAAATTTCCCAGGTACAGTGTCTATATGTTGTTATAACTCGGGGATAATTTTACTAATTCGTGCAGTTGATGTCTTTATAAAGGCAAACAGACGCCAGACACTTCTGTACACTTCAGGAACTCCTTTATATTTTTGGTGGAAACCCAGGAGATACCAATAAGTATCAGATGATTGATTGCTATTTGTTGAGAATCATCTTAAATCTCCGCTTGGACTTTAGTATACCTATTACTTACATGATCCTAGCTTTTTTAGTATACCTAAGCCTGATTGCATCGAACTATGTCTCATCTTTAAAATTAATGTGGAGCCTCTTTTTCCTATAATTCATCACATCGAGTTCCTCAAATGGATGTGTTTAAATAACTGTGTGATGCATGTTCTAAAAAGGAAAGGAAATCAATACCTAATTTGTTAAAGAGCTTTTTCTGGTTAGAAATTCAATTCTGTCTAAGCAGATGTGGCATTTCCTAGTCGTTTTCTTTTTTAATATTTAATGCATTTCAATAAGAGTTGCCCTTGCTGTTCAATTCCTTGTCCTTTTTCATGCATTCTTAGATATAAGCTTTACTGATCATATAAATAGGAAAACGATCATTTGTGTGAGAATTTTCAGCTACTATTTAAATATCTGTTATAACTTATGAATTATTTGTTTTCTTATCACCAAAAAATAAGCAAATTCTAATATTTTTGGGGAAATCTCAATCATAGTACCCTTTGCCAATAATTGTTTTAGTAGATAATCTTTTTCTTTTTAAGCAGATTTTTCCGCTTATGCAAATTCACAGGTCAATGACACTAATTTAGCGGAAATTGAAGGTGGAGAGGTTACTGTCCTGCAATGGTCCAGAGTTTGTAATGCAACTTAGCTTTCACGTAAAGGATAGCAGTGATTGAAAGTTTGTTCAGGTAACATGTGTATCATTTGTCACGACAAACACCTGCCAAGTATTTTTATCAAATCCTGTTATCGTAGTCTATGCATTATATAGTCTGAGACCAATTTTCTCAGGAACAAAATCCTCCTCCAAAGCACATGCTCACCTGAGGTGTGTTTATTTTCCGGTGGTGCAGGTAAAACTATATTGTACAGTTCTGTTATGTGTCATTGAAATTTCTTTTTGATGTTGTACCTGCTCTTGAAACATTTTGAAGGATGTTGCATGCTTTTAATTGCAGGGTAAAGAGAGTATTGAGGTGATATTGGAAAAGCTAGAGGCAGATGGGTATGGAATTACCGAGAATTTTGAAACTGTCCGTTGGTCGGGTCGTCTGCTTCCAGATGCTCGTTGGGTAAGGTCAGAATCTTTCTGTTATTCATAGTTTACAAATTATAATTTACCAGTCTTGTATTCCATCACTACAGTCTGCCAAATAATACCTTCATGATAATATATGTCCAAAATTTGAAAGAAGGAACATGTGTGCCTGTAATTTACGTGTATATTGTGTTATTCTCTGTTTTGTTTCTTTTTATGGAACCAAAGCCAAGAAAAAGTGATAGGGCTGAAGTCCTGAAGAGATGCTGCTTTAGAGTAAAATGCTTCATAGGTATAAAACCATTTGTACAAAACAAGTGCTCTCTTATTAATGAATAAGCAATTGCTTCTTTTCTCCAAGCATCACTGAGCAATATTCTGCTTGCAAAGACCGATGCTGGTTTCAACCCAACACCGTCAAAGGTACAAGATAGCTTTCCAAAATTTCTGACGACTTGACTGAGGATTTAATTGCACGTCAGCACGTGTACATACAGAAACGCATTTCCGGAATGCAAAATGAGAATATTTATATGCATGTCTATATATCAAGGCAGTAACTATTCCATGTGCAGGTAGTTAATACTATCTTGTTGTCCATTATTTGAGATACATAACATTCTGTTATTTCTTATTTATTTTCCCTCTATTCACAGTTATTCCAGGACCATTGCAGCATATCCTGCTGCATCCTGTAGATTTTTGCAAAAATCAATTGGCATGCACCAAGACACCAACACAAATAAAGGGGCATTAACTAATCCGCGTGACTCGAGGTATAAAATTTAAAAACTTTTGTGTGTCTATGTGCACATACAAAAGTATACAAGTTACATACCACAATAGATGGTACAACTAGAATAACTCGTATTTGGCTCCGATCTCTTTGAAAATATCTATATTTTTTAATTTTAGCTAAGCCCCAACAGTAAATGTATAAAGGAACCATACCATACCCAATAACACCTTGATTGGTCTTAGACCAGTTATATTGTGATAGGTCAGAAATACACTATCGAGCAATGGTTATATCAACTCGTGAGCTAGTTTCGATTAGAGCACTAAAATTTGGAGAGATCGATATACCCCTGGTGAGAAAGGGATTGGTCGATTTTATGACAGACTGTTGCATTAAATTAAAAGCATTTCAATGTTTTATCCACGCCGCTCTTTCTTTGTAAAATTTTCTTTCCACTAGATCCTAACATCCACTTCCTCCCTTATCATGATGTATATTGATACAGTTGAATATCATAAAAATCTCTAACTAAGACCCTAGATTCTCTGCTACCATAAATTAGCAGCCAAAGGAACATTGAAATTGACGAAGAATTGTATCAGAGCTCATGCATGATGGCTTTATCGATGCCCATTAGCATTAATTAAGTATTTTTTTGGTTTTGTATCTCTTATCGTGAAACTCTAGTGATAGAATGAGCATCTTCAATTGAGTAGAAAGGTCATTAATTCACTAAACAATCGAAGGTAATACAGAGGGGACAACAGAGGGATAGGGAGAACCTGCACCTTCTCATTGTCCATAGACATTTTCCGTTGTTACCCGTTCATCGTTGAATCTCCGGAGATATCCAGAAGAGTGAGACTGGCGCCTTTGAGGGGAAGAGTGGAGAACAACAGTTTTGATGGCAAAGTGAATTTAAAAAGAATTAAACAAGTCATTATCATAATATATAATAACCTTATTTGGTCCCTGTGTTCCTCTTTCACGTGATTCCTTTAATTCTTTCGAATTTGTATCTTTTTACATCTTGTAAGAAATTCCTCTGATCATCTAGGTGGTTATAAAGAATTTGTCAATGAATTAATCCATAGAACTCACCTCTTGTTCTGTAGTAAAGAACATGTAAAGACAATGATAGTTTTTACTTTAAACGAATCAATATATTGAGAGGTTGAGATTGAATAAAAGTCAATGTGCAATATATACTTTTTATTGTATCAACAATGTACGTATCTAATATATAGTTATACATCACTTATATACGAGTCTATATTATTTTTCCAATATCAATATATTTTATATACATACAATTATTTTATTGAAAACAATTTTTGTTACCTGTATCACTAAATTTTAAACTATTTTTCATGTGAATAGATACTTGACTATACTTTTAGTATAGATAAAACTACTTTTATTCTATATTTATGATTTTTTAGCTAAAACATTGAAAAAATTGTACACGTGTCAAGTGTAAGTTACTTGAGAATTGAGATTTTATGCACCAAATAAATGCCAAAATGCCTTCACACCAAATACCCCTATATTCACTTTGCTATCAGAATTGTTGTTCCCCACTCTTCCCGTCAGCGGCGCCAGTCTCGCTCTTCTCAGAATCTCCGACAATTCAACAATGGACGGCGAATAATGGAGAACGTCGATAGACAATGAGAAGATGCAAGTTCTCCCTTTTTCTTTTTTGTCCCCTCTGTTTTACCTTTAACTGTTTAGTGAATTGAATGACTTTTCTACTTGATTGAAAATGTTCATTCTTTCAATCGAGTTCCAGGATAAGATATATAAACCATAAAAATACTTAATTAACGCTAATGGACACCGATAAAGCTGTGCATGTTCTTTGATAGAATTCTTCGTCACTTTAGATATTCCTTTAGTTTATGGTATCTGAGAATCTAGGGTTTTAGTTAGAGATTTTTATGATATCCAATTGTATCAATATATATCATGATTAGGTAGGAAGGAGGATCTTAGGATTTAGTGGAAAAGGAAATTTTATAAAGCAAGAGCGGGTGGGTGAGGTGAAGCTGTGAAGTGCTTTTTCTTTAACAGAAAGGTCTGTCAGAAAATCCACAAGTTCCATTTTCACCAGGGTATATCGACCCTCAAGTTCTATTTGGTCATTTTTTCATATTTTAGTTCTCTCAACAACTGATTAATCCAAACTAGCTCACGGGTTGTTGCAACTGTTGCTCAATATTTTACTCCACTGTACTTTATTGAGCAACCACACTTTGCATCTTATACTTCCAAGATACCAAATTACCTCCTACTAAAACACAATATCCAAACTTTAAATGTCTATCACAGGTTGATCTTGCCCAATCAATATCTATATATCCAATGATATGCTTATGGCCTTGATCATCAAAGAGTAGTCATATACCTGAAACTCACTTTATATATCGCAAAATACGAACAACTGTATCCCAATGATTACTAGAGGGGAAGTCATAAACTATCTTGCAAGACTCACAAGAAAAGGATGTTAACTCTAGTCACTATAATTCAACTTTCCCACTAGCCATCTATACCTTCGAAAATCGCGGAATGGCTCCCCCTGTCGTGGCATTATATTAGCATTGGGGTCCATGGAAGCGTCAATAGGTCTACATCGCATCATTCTTGTCTCCTCAAGAATGTCCAAGGCACACATGCAATGCGACATAACAATACTTAATTTCGACTGAGCAACCTCAATACCCAAAAGATACTTCAGTCTGCTGAGGTCTTCAGTTTGGAAATATTGAAAGAGATTTTACTTCAAATTAGTGATACTATCCAAACCATTGCCGGTGATAACGATAACGTCAACTTGGACTACCAAATAAATACACAGATTAGATGCAATATATTGATAAAACACTGAGTGATCAACTTCACCACGAGTCATGCCGAACTCCGCTCTGGAATTACTTATTGAACTCCCAAAATGTAGCTCAAGAAGACTGCAACCCTTAGACTTTAGGGTGACCTGCACAATCGACATACAAGGATACTTATGATACTGACCCCCCCGGCTAATAAAATAATGTGGTAAAGCATCATTAATGTCCAACTAATGAAGAGGCCAATGACGAATGACAACCATAGATAGAAAAAGGAAGATATATGCTATTTTAGCCTGGGATGAGAAATTATCGTTCTAATCCAACCCAAATATTTGTGTATATCCTTTGGCAAAAGTGAAATTGAAAAACTTATATCAGTCGAAAATAGTGCAGTGGCCACCAAAAAGTGCTCAAAATTCGGTATAAAATGTATGAATTGTCTCTTTAAATCACGAGTCAAGTTGCCCAAAAACTAGCTGGAACAGGCTCACGCTTTGGCGCGTGGTACTATCGCGGTAGCTAGAATCCTAAAAGTCCTACTATTATATTTTGATTGGTAAAGGATAAGTGTATTGATACTTGATGCTATAGAAATGTACAATTATCAAGCTTACAAGGAAGTCATACTATTATTTCATTTTTCACTTTATATATATGTTGCCTGTGCCTTTCAAACAGTTCGAGGATGCACTTGTGAGTAGTTTTTTCTTTCTAAACACAATAATATCAATCCCTGTGTGGCTCCTCTTTACCAATTTTTTTGGCTTGTTCTCTATCTCTCATTGCTGCATTTATTGCTATGTATACTGTCACTAAACTTGGGTGCGTTTCTCGACAGAAACTTGGGGATGATATTGCAGATATGGCCTATGCATCAGACAATGTGATGCAAATGTGGAATCACTTAATATTAATCAATCAAATATTGAGCTTGAGATGTCCAACTTGCGAGGTATTAATTCAGCTGATGCTTGTATGCTACATTACTGTCTACACCTCATGCCTTCAGCTTTTTATAATTGTTATTAAGATTCTTTCATGCTGCTGTGTTGCTGCAATGGTTTGGCTTTATGTAGTCCGGAAATTTTTTAAGTGACACATGAAATCAAAAAACAATGTTATGTGCATCATGAACCATGCCTATTTTAAACCAGCTGCTTGGCATGTTTGCATTCTAAACAGATTTATTTATTTTAATTTTTGAAAAAAGTATATTCCATTGATAATGTGAAATTCGTTATCATCCCATATGCCTAGTTAACTTGTGCATTTTTTATAGATTAATTTAAAATATAAAATTTATGATTTAAAATTTTTATTCATAAATATAAAATTATGAATTTATATTATTTATAAATTTCTTAAATATAAAATTTAGCTAAAATTATATATATTTCCTTTCTCTGCCCAAAAAAGAAATACATTTCAAATTTATAATTGAAATGGCCCATTTCAAACTTTCAACCATTTTTAACTTTTATATATATATATATATATATATATATATATATATATATATATATATTACTTTAATAACTATATATAAGATGCTAGGAAAGCAATTATTCGTCAACGTTCCAACTTTTCTAGGCAGGGGTAATATAGTAATTTACTAAATGTTGTGTAAAGGTATTATTGTACTTATTTGCTTCGTTGTTGAGCTTTTTTATTTATTGAACATATAAGTCCAATAATTGATGGAGCCATATCATTGGATGGTGGGATCATAAAGAGTCCTGACATATTTTCCCTAGGCAAAAGGTAAAGAGGTTTGTCTTAGGTAGTGCTTTTATTATATTCATAAATTTTTCTTCCTTCATAGTTCAACTTGTTTGTGATGGTACTTTAAATAATTGATTGCCTATTAAAGTGCATTTTGCTATTCAACTTTCAAAGTGCATTTTGCTCAAAGGATTTTAGACTCAACTCATGAAAACTTTATAGATCACAAAATAACTTGAATTGATTGATAGCAAAGATTGACAGCTAGTTTCGAGTCAATGTTGTTCATGAAAATGCAAAAACTTCAAAAAGAGAAAGTAGAATTAAACTAGAATGCTACTCAACGTTTCAGATGTTTTAGTAAAGCTCATTAACAATTTTGTTTCTCTCTCGTCTAATCCTCAAGCTACTCATCGACAAATTAAAAAAAAATTCAGATGCTTTAAATAAAGCTCATTAACAATTTTGTTTCTTTCTTGTCTAATCTTTTTACTGTCAGAACTTAAAAATTGAATACAATGGTAATACAAAAAAAAGAACCATTCAAAATCAAAGCATACAAACTAGGTGCTGAAATTAAAGACTAATGGTAAAAATATTCAACTAATTCATTGCCTAATAGAAAAAAATTGCAATGACAGCCTTACAAAAAATTCTTGGCAGCCCTAGAAATTATGCAGCCCTAACAGAGAAATTCCTTAAATAAACTCTCAATTAGCTCCTCTTTGACCCTCGACCCCTAACCTTACCTACAAAACTACTAGTTTTGGTGCTAACAAAACAATGAGTATCCATACGAGCCCAATCACATAATATTCAATCATCACAAAGAAAAATGGAAGATTACATCAAAGAAGAAGAAGAGGGAGATGAATCTAGAGGAATATACTTACTTTATATGTAGACACTAGTCGAAACGTTTTTCTCCAAAGAAAAGGCCTCCAAGCTTCAAAAATTAGGAGATTTTTCTTCCAATAAAGCCTTCAACTTTCAAGATTTAGAAAATTCAAAGAATACTGCATAGAGCAAGAAGGAAAACACAAAGAATACTTCAGCGATTTTGAGGCTTTAGGTTACTATTATATATAGAGAAAATTTTTAATAAGCCTTTTAATCTTTTTGGTTTCTGCTTCTGCCTTTTAGTTTCACGCTGAAAATTTTCATTCAAGGACCGATTATTTTATTTCTAGAAAATATTTTAGTCAAATAGAGACTAGTAAATAATATTATTCGTATAAGTACATTTCAGGGACCATATTTATAATTTGTCACTATATTTTGGTCTTTAATAAGCATAATGTTTATATAGTAGATGTATTTGAATATTCAACCCACTAGTAGATGTATTTGCAGATGAGATCATCATAACCTCAAATCTTAAGTTCTCAAGACAGATTACAAGATATCGGTCATCCAAAAGTCTCCCAATTGAAGCTCCATCCCCATGAAGATCAGAACATTTATTCGTAGGACCTTTCTTATCATATGTCAGCAGTGCTTTAAGTCCATCATGCGTCTTGCAAACAAATGCTAACATGGTTTCTAGCCCAAGATATTCTGAGAGAGTCCTGGATTTAAGAGATTTAGATACAAATGTCAGTCATAATACAATGAACTTCTAAATTTCTTTTGGTTTGTATGGTGAACTTCCATTATCTGCATACTTCTTGGTAAAGAAATGGCAATAGGGTCAAACTCAACCCCTAAAATATATCTCATGGGATGATTGCCCAAGCTTGTATATATAAACCACACATTCATTACCCAACTAATTTAGGACTATTTAGTACGACCTAAGAAAGAGAGAAAACGTTCAAATACCAACTAACATTCTACCCTAATCTGCGACCTCCAAACCCTAATTACTCTAAACATACCTATGACAAATTCAAATACCAGATGATAACATTTTGTCAAAAGTCCTGCAGCCACATATTGTCATCTTGATTGGGACAGAGTGAACAAGTGCTATAATCTCTTGAACATGGACTAGTATAGAAAGTGGACTCATACAAAGCTCATTTCTTTTTTCTTCTTTATCTATTTTTTAAAAAAAAAAAACGCCAGCAATTACTGGATGCTATGTGAAACTAACCCGTTGAGATTATCATCGTCAACCACGCCAAGCAAAGCAACAATTTCTATCACGTCCTTCATGTACGGAATATATGTTGCCAGCTCAAAACAATTCAATGTTAATATTTCTTCAATGGTCTCCAACTAATTCTGCCAATTAGAAGATTCCTTATTTTCAGAACCATTTTCACTTGCTGAATAAGTCTTGGTGAGAGAAACTACAATACCCCACAAGCACAAGGCATTAAAATTGAGAAACAGTGAGAAGGCATATGACAAAAGCGAAAGAAAGTTTAACTGAATGCTATAGTCTACACGGAGTGCTTTTAAATAGGCAATACCCACATTAAACCCATGAACAATATATTAAGCTCACTGAAACAAGTTGATGGTTGATATTCTGCGCAAAGGTAATCAGGAAATCAATATTTACTTGAAATGTGAAAGACGCCCATTGATATGAAAATCTTAAAATGTTTGATTGTTTACTTCCCATAAAGACATAATAAAAACATTATATTCTAGGTTACTAAAAGAACAAAATAACTACAGTAACCTTTGAAAATTGCATGTGCATTTTACAACACACCTAATTAACTTTAAAAAAGGAAACAATACCTTCTATATCCAAAATTGAATCATCCAACCTTTTCTTCTGACCCCGTAAGAATTTGATATTTTCTTCATGGTGTTTAATTTGAAGACCAATTTCCTTCACTGCATCCTCAAGTTTCTGCAGTAATAGTCATGATATTGATCCATTTACTTCACAAAAATTATCATGTTCATTATCATCTCAAATAACAGATGCTATTAGATATATCTATACCTATAATCAAAACTACTATGTATATTGCATCCGTTAATGACAAAATAAAATAAACTAGGCAGATATCGTTGAAAATCATAACCACCTTGGATTCGCAGTAAAAGTCTCAGTAGTCCCATTTTGCATTGTCCTGATTGCCAGCAAAAGTAAAGGAATTCATCTGACCTCCTTGACTAAGTGATGGATCATGCATAATAAGTAGTTCCTTAGGACTGGTTCGTAGCTGGAAAAGAAACGTAAAAGCAAACATCAGTTTGCTAGAGTTGCTTATTAATAAAAGATTCTACAAGTGCCTATTATAAGGTCCTAGAGTGCTCACCACGTATACAGTGAACAAGTAATATTAATACGCGAATCGTACTTGCCATTTTTTTTAATCTTTGTGTCATTTAGGGGGGACATAAAATATACTTTGTTTCTGAAAATACTGTTTTATTCGGAATTTTTTTTGTTCTTTATTATTTTTTATGACTTGTTTACAATCTCCACTTATTTTTTAAAGAAAAATCAAGAAAACTTAGTTTTCAAAAGATTTAAACTAAAATATAAATGAGAATCCCTAAACCCCTTTAAGGTTTTCTATTTAAATCTTTTGAAAACTAAGTAATCTTGATTTTTCTTTAAAATTAAGTGGAGACTCTAAACAAGTCATAAAGAACAAAAAAAAAATTCGGATAAAACATTATTTTCAGAAAGAAAGTAGATTTTTATGTTCCCCATAACTGAAACAAAGATAAGAAAAATGGCAAGTACGATTCATGTATTAGTATTTTTGTTCACTGTATACGTGGTGAGCACTCTAGGACCTTATAATAGGCACTTGTAGAATCTTCTATTAATAAGCAACTCTAACAAATTGATGTTTGATTTTACGTTCCTTTTCCAGCTACGAACCAGTCCTAAGGAACTACTTATTATGCATGATCCATCACTCAGTCAAGGAGGTCCTTTACTTTTGCTGGCAATAAGGCCACAATGCAAAATGGAACTGCTGAGACTTTTATCTGCGAATCCAAGGTGGTTATGATTTTCAACGATATCTGCCTAGTTTATTTTATTTTTTCATTAATGGATGCAATATACAAAGTAGTTTTGATTATAGGTATAGATATATCTAATAGCATCTGTTATTTGAGATGATAATGAACATAATATTTTTGTGAAGTAAATGGATCAATATTCATGACTATTACTGCAGAAACTTGAGGATACAGTGAAGGAGATTGATCTTAAATTAAACACCATGAAGATAATATCAAATTCTTACAGGGCCAGAAGAAAAGGTTGGATGATTCAATTTTGGATATAGAAGGTATTGTTTCCTTTTTTAAAGTTAATTAGGTGTGTTGTAAAATGCACATGAAATTTTCAAAGGTTACTGTAGTTATTTTGTTCTTTCAGTAACCTAGAATATAATGTTTTTATTCTGTCTTTATTGGAAAGTAAACAATCAAACATTGTAAGATTTTCATATCAATGGGCGTCTTTCACATTTCAAGTAAATATGGATTTCCTAATTACCTTTGTGCAGAATATCAGCCATCAGCTTGTTTCAGTGAACTTAATATATTGTTCATGGGTTTAATGTGTGTATTGCCTATTTAAAAGCACTCCGTGTAGACTATAACATTCACTTAAACTTTTTTCTTTCCCTTTTGTCATATGCCTTTTTACTGTTTCTCAATTTTAATGCCTTGTGCTTGTGAGATATTGTAGCTGCTTTCACCAAGACTTATTCAGCAAGTGGAACTGGTTCTGAAAATAAGGAATCTTCTAATGGCAGAATGAGTTGAAGACCATTGAAGAAATTTTAACATTGAACTGTTTTCAGCTGCCAATATATATTCTGTATATGAAGGACGTGATAGGAATTGTTGCTTGGCGAGGTTGACGATGATAATCTCAACAGGTTAGTTTCACATAGCATCCAGTAATTGCTGACTTTTTTTTAAAAAAAAGATAAAGAAGAAAAAAGAAATGAGTTTTGTATGAATCCACTTTCTATACTAGTCCATGTTCAAGAGATTATAGCACTTGTTCACTCTGTCCCAATCAAGATGAAAATTGTGGCTGCATGATGGTGAAGACTTGAGATAAAAAGTTTAATACCATCCGATATTTGAATTTGTCATAGGTATGCTTAGAGTAATTAGGGTTTGGAGGTCGCAGATTAGTGTAGATTGTTAGTTGGTATTTAAAAGTTCTCTCTTTGTTGGGTTGTACTAAATAGTCCTTCATTAGTTAGGTAATGAATGTGTGGTTTGCATATACAGGCATGGGCAATCTTCCCCTCATGAGATACATTTTGGGGGTTGAGTTTGGCCTTAGTGCCTTTTCTTTACAAAAAAGTAACCATATAATGGAAGTTCATTGTACTAACCAAAAGAAATTTAGAAGTTCACTGTATTATGACTGACATTTGTATCTAAATCTCTCAAATCCAGGACTCTCTCAGAATATCTTGGGCTAGAAACCATGTTAGCAGTTGTTTGCAAGACGCATGATGGACTTAAAGCACTGCTGACATATGATAAGAAAGGTCCTATGAATAAATGTTCTGATCTTCATGGAGATGGAGCTTCAATTAGGAGACCTTTGGATGACCGATATCTTGTAATCTGTCTTGAGAACTTAAGGTTTGAGGTTATGATGATCTCTTCTTGCAAATGCATCTCATACTCTATAGCACTTCTTTACTCGTTTTTTTCATTTTTGGTTATCATTTTAGACCGTACACTGGTGAATTTATTGCTGATGATCCTTAGAGAAGGCTATCCATAAAGAAGCCAAGATACGTCAAGGAGGAAACTCCTCCTGATTTTCTTGGCTTTGCTGTCAATATGGTCAATATTGACTCTCTCGAACTTATATTGTGTTATAAGAACTGGTCATGGCCTGAGAGAGACCCTCTTCTATGGACTCTTCTCACAGTTGCAAGTATACAAAACAAGAGAAGACATGATGCAGGCACTACCTTTTATAACTGATGGAGCCATATCATTAGACGGTGGGATCATAAAGAGTGGTGGTATATTTTCCTTAGGTAGAGAGGTTTGTCTTAAGTAGTGCGTTTATATTCATAAATTTTTCTTCCTTCACAGTTCAACTTGTTTGTGAAGATACTTTAAAGAATCAATTGCCTTTTAACTTGTTCATTTTTGAGTATCAAGTAATATACTACATCTCTAATTGTGCGCCTGAACTGAGAAGCTGGTATTATTTTGTGACCATGTTGCTTGACCATTGTGGAGTTCAGTAGTTCGACCTTTCACGAATTTACTCTGTCAATTTGTATAGAATGGTGCATGAAAGCATGTTCTTCCATTTCTTTCACTATATCTACAACAAAGCTTCTGCAAGTTAGCCTTTGTTATATTTGTTTGTAATTCATTTTCATTTCAAAATGATTAAAAAACCGTATTATAATTTTATGGGAGAGGTATCTTCAGGGTTTATCACGTTCTGAGACTACGACACATTTTAGATTTACCTGAATGACTTTTGGTAATTATTTATATCTTATATCTTAATCCACTATCTTGTGGGGGTTGTTTTTAATCCTATTCCTATGTTTAGATGTTACATGTATTTGATTTTGTATGTTTATAAATTAGATTTATTTGAATTAATAACACACTTTAATTTTCTTGTTGATTGTATCATTGAATCATTATCCTCTCTACCTTTCCAAGGTAGGGGCATGATTGCGTACACTCCACCCTCCCAGATCCACTTGTGAGATTACACTGGATGTACTAGATGTGTTGTTGTTTGTTTGTATTGCATCACTAAATCATTTGGATTCTTTCTTTCTCGTGTTTATTTTTGTAAAGGGAAGTACAAATCAAATTTCCAAAGAGTTCTGGAAGGTTGTATCTACGTGAAAGCTATTTTGGAAGTGAGATCCAGATGAAGGAGCTGAAGTGAGAAAGGGTAAGATGTGTGGAAGATTTAGAGAGAGAGCAAACATTGCTGACCAATGCAAAGAACAACTTTGAAATAAGGAAAGAGGAGTTTTTCAAGTTTCTTTCACAGAGCTCATCCTATCTCTGAGGGTTATATACTTGAGTAGGGCTGTTCAAAACCGAATCTAAACCGATAAGCCGAACCGATAAAAAAGTTATTGGTTTATATCATTGGGTTATTGGTTTAGTGGTTTTGATGTCGGTTTTGATTTTTTTTGTTATCGGGTATCGGTTCTTAACGGTTTAAAGTTTTTTCTTAATGGGTTAACCGATAACCTGATAGTAAATTAAATAATAATATTTATACCATTTTGTATATAAAGTTTTCGACTTAGAGTTTAATTTCCTACTTTTATTTTTGGTTGTCTCAAATACTTGATTATTCTACAATGTAAAAGTGTTTGCTTTTGAGCAAGATGTAACTTGTGAACTCAAGTGCATGGTTTATTTGGTTTGTCACCTTGTTTCTAAGTGATTTTTAATGTTTTTTCTTTTGTGTCAAATCTTAACGGTTAAACCGATAACCGAACTGATAACGACCAAAAACCGATGAACCAATATCTTAATGGTTCTATAACGGCTCTACAAACCGATAACCAATAAGCCAATCCGATAAACTTCAAAATCGAACCGAACTGGCCGATACACAGCCCTAGAGTAACTTGAGTGTGTCTAGTTAGACTGTGCATGCTTGAGGTTTTTTTAGTTGATACTCTTTGTCCTTACGTCCTGCTTTAATTGATTGACAATGTCATTTGATAGTTGTAAGCTGTACTTGCATTTTATCATGTTAGGTGAATAAGAGATCCTATTTTTTCCCCTGGGAACTGTTTAAGCTTGTGCTTTCTTTAGTATGCCAGTCTAAAGATCGATGTAGATATAGGAAGTGAGATGCTAAAACAATTTTACGAGAAAGGGATGAAATTGGTTATTCTAGGATGCAGTAAGACTGTCATGTGTACATTAAATAAAGAAGAGGCTACCCACCAGTGTTCTGCAACTGTCAAAGATTTCCATAGTGGTTTTTGTCATATCGTCACTATGCACAATCTTCCTTTTACCTGCAAATATCATTCTCAATATCTGTTGGTTCTAAGGGGGACCTCTGTTTTCTGTTCCAATGGAGTAAGTTGCTGGGAAATTCCACCCATACTTGGATCGTGTAGAAAAATCCACCATTCTCTATTGTAACTAATTCTTTGGAATTTCACTACTGTCTCATTTATTCTGACCTTTTCCCAATTGAGATGGTTCTGGAGTTGTGTTTCCTCCATCCCCCACTATGATCTCCAGTAGCTCTGAAGGTCCTTTGAGACCATTAATATAACGCTAGTCCTACAAAATTAACCAGACAGAGCTGAGTTTCTTTTCCTGCTTGATGGCTCCAATTGTTGGTGACCACCAATGGAGTTGAGCTAATATTGATCGTGAAATTGATTTTTATACATAGTTACGCTAATATTTAGTTTTTTTATTCATAGTTACGCTAATATTGATCGTGAAATTGATTTTTGGGTGTACTTTGCTACTAATATTGGTAAGGTTGAAGAGTTTTGGTTGAAGTTTTATGTTATTACTTATCCAGATTTGGCCTATAAGTTTCCTGAATTCGGGTATACGAATACTATTTTGAGGAAATTGGCATTAGAATATTGCCAAGTAAAACCTTTTGGTAATGTGAACTGGAGTAATTTGATTTCTCTTTTGATTGGGGATATCGATATAACAGAGGATGTACTGGAAAAAGTATTGTTAGGTTCTCCTAATTTGAAGTTCTTGGAATTAGATAATGTTGTTGGTATTCGTCGTCTGGAAATCAACTCTGTGAATCTGAGAAAATTGATTCTGAAACATGATAGTGATGACTGAGAGTTATATATGACTCAGTCATCACTATCTTATCCTACAAAAGATATATTTTTCAATAGTTGGAGAGGAGAAACTCTAATCAGATCAAAGGTAAACGAAGCGAACTAACTGAATGGATCACCCTTATAGTTTGAATTCCTAAAGAGAGTAGAATAGAAGAATTTGACATCTTATATTATGTTTTAGATTGTTTAAATGAGCGTAAACACAATTAATTGATGGTGTTCTTTCTCTGTTTTAGTGGAGATCTACTATGATGCCTACAGAACATAGACTTTTCATCTATGCTTAGTATTCTGAAAAGCAAAAAGCGCAACAAACATTTAAGGTTTGTTGGATCTTTGCAAAGTACAAATAAGATGTGGGCTTTAATGAAAATTGACGCAAAGGGTGAGAAAATATAATTATGCATATATTTACTCCAACACTAATAATAATTGAGAAATATTTTATCTTTTATTGATACAATAAAAGTAATAAATGATATATATATATATATATATAATTATGAGAAATAAAATTAAACGGAAGGGATAATGTAGTAATTTCAACAATAAATAAGAACACAGAAATTTTTACTCATAAAACGCTATTGGTGCACGAGTTTTATGCCTTAACTTATAAGTTCTTTCAATTAAAGTATCCGAAAAATATTTTTTTCAAGTTTTCAATGAAATGACGTTTTTTTTAATACAAAAATTTATCTTTTCTTGATATTATAAAAAGTAATAAATGTAATAAATAAATATATATTTAAAATAGTAGAAAAATAAAATTAACTGGAAGAGATAATATAGTAATTTCAACGATAAATAAGTCACAAAATTTTACTCATAAAAAAATATTGGTGCACACGTATTATGTCTTATCTTATCAACTCTTTCTATTTAGATATCCGAGAAGTATTTTTTCATGTTTTTAACGAAATGACTTTTTTTAAAAGATAAAATATTTATCTTTTCTTGATACTATAGAAGTAATAAATGAAATTAATAAATATATATTTAAAATAGTGGGAAAATAAATTAAACAGAAGGGTTAATATAGTAATTTCAACAATAACTAAGAAGTTGCAAAATTTTACTCATAAAACGCCATTGATTCACGTGTTTTAAGTCTTAGCTCATCATTTCTTACTATTGAGGTATCCATAAACCTTTTTTTTCACGTTTTCAATGCATGACCTTTTTTTAAAAGATAAAGTATTTATCTTTTCTTGATCTTATAAAAGTAATACATACATATTTAAAATAGTGGGAAAATAAAATTAAAGGTAATATAGTAATTTTAGCAATAAAATAAGAGGTCACCAAATTTTACTCATAAAACTCTACGGGTGCACGCGTTTTTTATGCCTTATCTTATCAGCTCTTTCTACTTGTGTATCCGAAAAGTATTATTTTCGTGTTTTTAATGACATGAAGTTTTTAAAAAATATAAAATAGTTACATTTTCTTGATATTATAAAAGTAATAAATGAAATAAATAAATATATTTTTAAAATAATGGAAAAATAAAATTATACGAAAGTGGTAATATAGTAATTTCAATAAAAAATAAGAAGTCACCGAATTTTGCTCATAAATAACTACGGTGCACACATTTTATGTCTTATCTTATCTGCTCTTTCTATTTAGGTATTCGAGAAGTGTTTTT